TCGATCGGGGGAGAAAAGCTACACACTTGACATACTTGACATACGCGTTTTGTTGTACCGGGTGCGGCACGAAGGTGTGTCCTCGTTTGTTTCCACGTGATTGGTAGAGTTGTCGAATTTGTATTTCTGGCCAACGGGACAGGGAACGAAGGTTTGACGCTGGTGAGCGATGAATTGGCAAATGACCGAACCAATGAAGTCATAAAGTCGCTGGATCTATAGCTCGTCGACCATTAGATCACGCGTTCCAGACATTTGTCAGTCCATTGAATCTCGTATCGTTTTATTGAATTTCGTATATCGTTTTGTACGGAACATTTCTCTTTTTCTATTTTCTTTTTTTCTTTTTTTTTTTTTTTCGATTGAAACAAACTTGCGAATTCCGCTTCTTGCAGAAAATAATTTTATCAGTCGTGATTTCGCTTTCTATAGAAATAACTTTATCAATCCAAGTATCGTACATAATAGGGAATAAAAACTGGGGCAAGTTCGATCGTTGAAGAAACCATATTTGATACGTGGCAACCTCGAGCGAGTAAGCTAGAATGAGGAGGTACATTAGAAAAAAAATGGTTCGTCTTTGCTCTGTCACATTTCGCTTTTTCCCTCCTTTCGCTTCGAACAGTAGTGCATTCTCTTTGTCATTATTATTGAATTCTTATTGAATCGTCGAGTTAAAAAATAGGGCGATTAATATCGTTGATAACGGCAGGCACGTCACGCTTTAATATTCATTCGTATTGAAAAGGGACGTCGCAACGAGGCCACAAGATAGATATTATTATAGCGGCGGTTTTCCATTAGCCGCGAGCATGATCCTTTCTTAAGATGATATTTTTAATGTTGCGCACGAGGAGAGAGGACTATCGCTCGACGGTGGGAGCTTACGGACGTTTATACACTGCTTACGCGTGCGAGGATGAAACAATATCGGAAAATTATTTATAGCCTGAATAAGGAGAACTAATGCAAAGCTATCGACGCGCAACCATGCCACTTAATAATAAACCCGCGTTGTGTACAGGTGTGCGAGTATCGTGGAAATTTGCCTAGCGTTCGTCGAGGATGAGCAAAGTTAAGCTTTTTGTTTTTTCTTTTTGGCCAAGCATCTCTAAAATCCTGATGCCCTACCCCAATGTGATACATAATTCTTATCATTCGAAAAGTGAATTTTTGACCTGAATGGCCATCAACTTCCAAACAAGCTTCCAAAGAACGTGGCATCCAAATTGGAAAGAAAAGAAGCAAAAGAACGAAAGGACGGTTGAAGAAATTGTTAAAAAAGAAAAATAAAATAAAATGAAGTGATGTGACAAAGTTAAGGAGAACTGAGATGAGGAGACAAATATAAAATAATTTTAATGGAAGCTTTTTCCATGTAACACTCGATCGTTTCAATTATTATAAAATAAAGTAATAAGGGTACCTAACAAATTGAAAATACCATTTGAGATCATTTTCAAGGTGAAACGCCAAACAATTCACTGTTAATAGCTTAATTCTTGAATTAGTTAGTCTCCCTAGGAAATTAAATTGCCTCCATGGATTTAATCCTTATAATTTAGTATCTACTACTTAGTATCATCTCTAATACTGTAGTATCTACTACTTAGTATCATAAAATACTCTACTGTCTACTATCTAGTACCATAAAATACTCTAGTATCTGCTATCTAGTGTCACAAAATACTCTACTATCAGCTATCTGGTATCAAAAATATTCTAGTAGCTATTAGATAGTATTATAAAATTCTCTAGTATCTACTATTTGGTGTCAAAAAATACTCTACTATCTGGTATCATAAAATATTCTAGTATATACTATATTGTATCATAAAATATTTTAGTATCTACTATCAACTATCTAGTATCATAAAATATTCCAGTATCTATTACCTAGTATCATGAAATATTCTACTATCTACTATCTGGTATAAAATAATCTAATGTCATAAAATACTCTGCTATCTATTATCTGGTATCATAAAATACTTTAGTAGCTATTATCTAGCATCATAAAATACTAGATACTATCATAAAATACACATACACACGTGCATATCGATTCGTGTGAAATTGTCTATGAATATTTATACACAGATCTCTTTAAGATCCACGTTCGTTGTCTTTGCGTTGTCAAGTTTCCAAGATTAATCCGAGTATGTTCAGGGAAAGCTTGCGCATCAGTTTCGATCAACTCTGTTATCGATATCTGGGTAAACAATCGCAGAGTCTCGTCTGTCTCGTCCAAAAAAAAAAAAAAAAAAGAGATTCACTTTCGTCACGACGAATGAAACTTGTTTACCAAACGTGGCACAGTGACAGATGTTTATAAGCGTCGGCGACGTACATCGAGACCATAATTCATTCCTCATCGTGTCTGAATGACGATCCTCCAGCAACAAATCACAACAATCATATGCCATCCGCCGTGTAACGCTTCACATCGTTTCCCGACGGATTCATCTACGGCGTAAACACGTTGCACTCGTTATACGACGAAGACGACCGACGGTGTGCCATCCTCGACAAACAAGAGTCTGCGACGTGATTCTCGGTTTGCAGCTTTGCTTCTCTCCGCTGTTTAATCCCCTCCTCTTCTGTGAACCGTGTGTTCGTTTACGGGGAATTACGGGTGTCGAGCGCGATTTAAAAATAATTGCCGCTGCAATGTGGAAATCAGATGCGTGTTATATGGCAATTTAAGGTGCACGAGTGTACGTACAGGGTGTCTCGGATAAAAGTTTCTCGCCAAACTTTGTCACGAGTATGAACGATGAGGATTTTATGTCGCTAGGTTCTCATCTTTTAACTCTAATCTTCTCTGTTCTTCGATCGAGAGGAGACGATCGCAAAAGTTTTGCAGAGATTTCCAATCCGATCAGTCAGAGGTGTGCAATTTGCAAAATTCTCGAATGATACAATTATCGTGCATTTTGACACAGCGTGATGATGAAAATCACTTGCATGACTGTATGCTGCAACATGCGTATTTGCAGCAACAAACATCACGTTTAATTAGAATTTTCAGTTTACTGTACTTGCCGGCGTTTGTCTGCACCTAGATACTCGTAATTACTGCTCTGCCATAGTGAATGAATAATCAATAAACTAATAGGCGACAATGCGCCATAGATTATTAATTTAATGCTCGATTTGTGCTCTATCTGTATCGTAATTCGTGTGACAATGATAAACGAAATTTCCGAATTGGTTGGATGTTTAAGCTTGTCGACGTGTAGTGGAGTACGTCGAGAACAAATAAGGGTTAACGCGAGAAAGTTGTGAATTTAAGTATGGCGTTCGATCAATTGCCCTTGTAAATATGTACCACGTGTCTCCTGGACACTCTGTAGAGACTTTTAGCCGTTAGAATGAAGCTTCAGAGTAGGGAATGAAGAGAAGCCATCCATCTTGGCTTGGCTTGGCTTGCACCCATGCAAAGTTCAGTTATTATAATTAATATTAGAAAGTTCAGTTTAGGACACGACACGGTAGCGTAAATATGACAGCAAATGAAAAATGAATTACGATAATTCGTCTATTAAAAATTGGCGTCGCAGTGAAGGTTTAATTAGAAAAGTAGGAGTAGGTTAAACAGTTTTTTTTAGGTTAGGTTAGAAAGTAATTACTCGTTATTAATTATTAATAAGTAACTCAGTTATTAACTATTAGTAATTATTAGTAATTGGTAATTTTTTAATTAATTATTAGTAACTGGTAATTTTTTAAATTTTACTAATTATTAGTTATTAGTTATTAGTAATTACTTACTAGGTTAAAAAGTTGGGTTAGGAAGTAATTTGATTTAATTTAAATTTAATTATTAGTAATTATTATTTATTAGTAATTAGTTAGGTTATTAGTCATTAGTAATTATTAGTTATTAGCTATTAGTAATTACTAGGCTAAAAAGTTAGGTTAGTAAATAATTTAATTTAATTTAAATTTAATTATTAGTAATTGGCTAGGTTACTAATTATTAGGAATTAGTCAGGTTATTAGTTATTAGTTATAAGTAATTACTTACTAGGTTAAAAAGTTAGGTTAGAAAGTAATTTGATTTAATTTAAATTTAATTAATAGTAATTGGTGATTTTTTAAATTAATTAATAGTAATTAGTTAGGTTATTAGTTATTAGTTATTAGCAATTACTTACTAGATTAAAAAGTTAAGTTAGAAAATAATTTGAAAAAAGGAGCAGTGGGATAAAATACATCTTCTATGTAGTTCGATTCATAATAATAATAATAAGTAATAAAATGAACTGCTTAATTCAGGAAATCAGTATGGCAAACGTATAGATGTCTCCTACGATCGTCTGTTCGTTCAAGTCGTAGGGCGTAGCCGTGCGTTTATGACCTGGTCAATAGTAATTAAAAGATCCATTAGTTCGGATGTCCGTTAACGTCCACATGTACATTTTGTCCTTGATACGACAAATATGATTACGACACGTCGATTGGCATCGAGCAGGAAACAACAAAAAGCACGAAAATGCTATCTAGATTTTCAATTACGTCGAACGTAATCGCGAACATTAAAATTTCAGTATTTCTTGTCGATATTTTTACAAAGAAGGAATTCAACATTTAAGATTAAATTCGAAAAAGAAATTATTTAAACTCGGAGAAAGTAACAGAGAAATCCTCGTTCTCCGAGGAATTTGAAAAAAAAGACTTATGATTGTATACAGGGTGGGCAAAAAATCACTTTCTACTAAAATAAATTTACTTTTTTTATTATTTTCTGAAAATAATTAATTCTGAAACATAATGAGGGAATCACGTTTGAAACTCAAATTTAATTTAATACGAATAAAACCAGTCTTTTCTTATATTTTGAGGTTTCGTTAAAAAAGAAAAAAAAAAAACAAGTGGGAAGAAATTTTTGGCCCACCCTATATACACAAAGGTATCAAAGGTATATTTCAGACTGTTGCTTTCAGTGTTTCGTATGTTATATTATCAGTTGGTCTAAGATTGATGGTTTTTCACAGGGTCGTCATAGGTACTCAAAATGATTTCCCTCCGTTTGGCTGCACATCGCGGCGTGTCTGAGTATGCTTGCTTGCAAATCCCAGGGTATATTGGCATCGATGGTGGCAACGGCAGCCTGGATACTGGTATGGATCACTTGTGACCAGCAATAAATATCAATTAAACTCCATTCATTCCATTTCTCATTTCTCACTAATTTTTCAGGAATTGATTTCACACTTTACTTTCAGTAAAGAAAAGAAAAAAGAAAGAAACAGCAAAAAGGAACAATAAGGGAATGAACAGTGATAAGATGATCACACGCGAATTTGTGAAATTCACAAATTTTTTTCTCTTTGTCTGATCGTACTCATACGTTAAGAGACTCTCCTCGAGTCTGTCTATCACTATAGCGCTTCTTTCCTCAGCTTCGTATATCGAGAGACAAGAAGCGTTCCCCTTACCCTATTATACATCTAGCCAATCGTTCGACCCTAAACGACAAGCGTTCGAGCAGCCATGAGGCTCAGAAAGTGGAGGTCAATTTCCACTCGAGACCGGTGCAGGTGCTTGAGGAGGAGCCAGGTCATAAATTAAACCATCAAAAATCGGCTTCCACTGCAACCGATTGCATTCCATTCTAATTTCCATTTTACTGTTTCACTCGTTCATTGATCACACCGGGAGAGCTGCTGCCAAAGATTCATGAGTCGAGTTTGAATAATTAAAGACTCCGATAATTATCAAAGATTGGCACTGGTTTTTTTCATAAAGTTCAATCAAATTGTAAATATTCATAAGAGAAACGAAGATAGGTATAAAAGAAGGAGGAAGACATGACCATACAATTTTTATCCATTATTTATCGGTGTACAATATTTATTAAAAAGCACAGGATACGTTAATATGTTAATAATTAAAAATGCATCTGTTTCTGGTGTGCACAGTCCCTTTGCAAGCTCCAAGCAAGTTAATGAGCCACATCTGTTTTACGAAGTCCGTGATATTTTTTCTTTCTTTCTTCCACAACAGTGTATTACATTTGCTACAGATATATAATAGAAAACATCAGGATTGTTTGCACGCTGTTCTCTCTGAGCAAAGTGCTCGTTTTCACGGTGAAAAATGCTCGTGTATTTAGTCAAATGAGGCCACAAGGTTGAACCAACGCTAATAAAACAAGTTCTCGTTATTTTTTTTTTTTTTTTTTTTTTAGAGGCGAGTAATTGGTAACGAATTACGAGTGTACGTCGAATTTTGTCGAAGTAAAGCAGGTTTGAATCATTCGAGGGAGCGTTTATTAATTAAGTTATTTATTTATATGATAATTAATTATTATTTGTTCAATTAAATTAAATTGCAATTTAAGAACAGGTGAAATCCGACCGACTTCGATTGTTTCACTAGTCAGAGATGACTTGGCCAAAATATACAAATACTGATGAAGAATATATGATACTGATAAATATTATAAAATTTTATAAAATTTTGTAAAATATTATAAAATTTTTGTCTCTGTTTTCTTCCTCGGTGGCTATTTGTCAATAATTTTTCAAAACTTCACAATCGTCGCCGCAGTGATAATCTGTTGTAAACTATTGTGTTCGTATTGATCGAATTTGAAAGATGAAAACACTTGTCTGTAACTGTGCGAATGTTGGAGTACCACTCCTCGATGATTAAAATACAAAACAGTATCGCTGTTACACGCTGGGCTGCTCTCTGTTCGCAGATCACGCGCCATCAACGAGGCCGCTGAAGAGGGTATGCAGTTGACGCATCCCTCGATCCCTTAAATCCTGGAACAAATCGTCCAGAAGTTAAAGGAACCGTTTCACGCATGCGAAAGGAGCGAGGAAGAGCCTGCCGAGAGAACGGATTTCGAAGAAAGATGTTCTGGCCAGACACGTGACATGTGAACCGTATAACGAGCGCAGAGAGAAGAAAAAAATATTTCCAGATACACGCAGGAATAGAAACGTGACAGAGCGTGAGAGAGAGAGAGAGAGAGAGAGAGAGTGTGTGTGTAGGATAGAGTGAGAGTGAGAGAGAGAGGGAGGGAGAGAGAGGGAGAGAAAGAGAGTGAGGGAGAGAGGGAGGAAGAGGGACAGAGGGAAAAAGTAGAAAAGGAAGTATTTTTCGCTAAAAAAAGAAAAAAAAAATAGAAAAGAAAAAGCAATTGAAAAAGCAAATGAGAAAACGAAGCCTGAAGGGTGTTGCTTCTGCGAGAACGAGATACGTTTGAAAGGAGAGAGAGAGAGAGAAAAAAAAAGAAGAGAAAGGAAGGAAATACGAGCACAAAAGAAGGGAAAGAAAAATAAGTTAAATGCCGGAGCGGAGTCTGACAGGGAGGGACAACCTCAAAAGAATTCTAAACGATAAAACTAGCTGGTAAAAATAAGGAAATTTTATATTTAAAATATAAATTGCTTTATAATAGGAGAACAAAGGATTTAAATTAAAAGAAGAAGAAAAAAAAAGAAGTAAGAGAAACGAAAAAAAGCGTAAGAGAAGAGAAAGACACCGTTAATTTAACACAGAGGAAGAACACAGGTGATTTTAAAGTTTTAGAACACACGCACGTACACACGCGCGCGCGCGCACACACACATACATACACACACATACGCATAAACTTAAAATAACTGAAAGCTGAAGAAGGTCAGCGAAAAATAGAAAAAAACAGTAGAAGAAGAAGAAGAAGAAGAAGAAAAAGAAGAAGAAAGAGGGAGTTAAATTTGTATTTGAAAGAAAGAAAGAAAAAAACATGAGAAATATAGGCTAGAGGAGAAAAAAAAAAAAAACATACGTAACACAAAGAGAAGAGAAGAGAAGAAGAAATAAAATAGGAAGGGAAATTTATTTAAGAAAAACAACAATAATAGTACTGATTAAAAAAAAAAAAAAAAAAAATAGAAAGAAAAGCTCTGAAAAGAATTACCAAAAGAACGCACAAAAAGTATTTTTCGGCAATAGCGGAACTCTTCAGACATGAATGTGACATCGGAGGTGGACATTTTCAAGAACGACAGCTACAACGTGAGCAACGGTCTCGATTGCGGCGGTGAATTGCACTCGTACAGGGTATGGGAGCGCGTGGTGATCGTGATAATCGCCGTAGTCCTCAGCCTGACCACCGTGATCGGTAACATAATGGTGATGGTGTCGTTCAAGATCGACAAACAGCTGCAGACGATCTCAAACTACTTCCTGTTCAGCCTGGCGGTGGCTGATTTCGCGATCGGTCTAATTTCCATGCCTCTGTTCACGGTATACACCGTGCTCGGCTACTGGCCCCTCGGCCCTTACATTTGCGACACGTGGCTGGCGTTGGATTACTTGGCGAGCAACGCGTCGGTGCTGAACCTCCTTATAATCAGCTTCGACAGATACTTCTCCGTTACGAGGCCCCTCACGTACCGCGCCAAGAGAACCACCTCCAAGGCAGCCATCATGATCGGTACGTCGAATCCGAATGTCTCCATATTATAATTACTTGCTTCTTTCTCACGCTATACCGTAATCATCAATTTAATCAGTTATTCAGGTAACGTTGACGTGGAAATAAATAGCCGTAAGTGTGTTTACACGAGGGACGTACGCGGACGTGTCTACGATAAGGAAAATCGAATTACTCGCAGTTTAAACACGTTGATGACGTAACCTGGTAGCTGCGTCACTGCCTATAGGTCTTCATTTGACATTTCGCAATCGGACACATCCCCGGAGGACGCGCCTCTCCCTTTCTCTGTTTTTCTTTGTTTCACAATAACGGCGCTATCGACGAACGGAGAAGTCGTTTTTACGCGAGTTCTTGACGAGTTGCGAACAGAGACGAGGAAATCAACCTACTTTTATCTATTCAATAATGCATATGCACAAAAGCTTCTTGCAAGAGGACACCGGTGGGAACCGATATTGGATGTCGATTTTGATGAAACTTGTACATACAGTTCGTGGAAAAACATTTAACGTGTAATTTCTTTCTCTTTTCTTTTTTTTTTTCTGCTCACATGAAAGTGACAGGCATAGAAAGGAAGAAGTTCGAGTTTGTTTGTTTGAAATATTTGAAAATATTTTGAGAAAAAAATAATTATTAAGAAAAATAATTTATTAAGCTTGGAAGAATAATTTGTGCATTATATATTATATGTATATTCCGGTATCGGAATTTTATTACTGACGCTTTTGTCTGCGAAACGATTTAATTCGAAATTTGGTTTAATAATAGTTTAAATATTCAGGATCCCAAAAAAATGCATAATTTGTATTAGGAACTTTCTCTACTTTTAGAAATTCGTAAAAATTGAGATTATATATCGTGAGGTACGATATTTAGATACTCAGGCAGTCTGAGACTCTCTCACAGCGGGCGTAAAAATAGCGAACACGTTTGCGAGAATTTATGGTGTTTCAAGAGATCACATTGTACTTACCCTTTATTTCTCATTTCTCAAACTGTCACAATTTATGCTGTAGTTACCGGCGTTCCCATTCGTCGCACCTCGCTGCGTGAGATACGTACATGTGTTTTAAGGCCATAGTATGCAAACGTAGTTCACACGTTCACGTACTTTGATCTAACACTCTTATCTTAATGTCCGCGGTCTAGCAATAATATTAAAACAGAGGAGATTAAACACTTCTTAATTAATTAGAAATGAATTAGTCACGTTCACGCGTTCACGTATTTTAATCTAACGCTTTTACCTTAATGCCCGCGGTCTAACAATATTATTAAAATAGAGAGATTAAGTACTTCTTGATTAGTTAGAAATAAAAGGGAAAAATTGAACAAAAAGGAATAAAAAAAATTATGTAATGTGTTTCAGCATGTGCCTGGGGGATTTCGCTGCTTCTATGGCCACCGTGGATTTATGCCTGGCCGTACATCGAGGGCACCCGAACGGTGCCCATTAACGCCTGCTACATTCAATTCATCGAGACGAATCATTACATCACGTTTGGTACCGCGATCGCTGCGTTTTACATGCCCGTCACTGTGATGATCATTCTTTACTGGCGGATATGGAAGGAGACGAAGAAACGGCAGAAGGATCTCCCGTATCTGCAAGCTGGAAAACAGGACGCCAGTAAGAGGAGTAACTCCAGGTGAATTGCTTCACGACATTTTCTTTCGCGACTTTAATTAAAATGCTAAATAAAAGCGGCACAGAACCAACAGCGAAACAAATAAGGAATCCACGCACATGTAATATACTGTGAATTATGTGTATACTTCCTCTTTATACACTTTGATCTTGTAATTAGTTTGAGCTAATTACGAAAGAACAAAGCTTGAATCGACGTTGATTGAATTGTGTTTCTCTTTGTTCGCTATTAGCGACGAAGCGTTGGACATGGAAGATTGTAGAAGACCTAGGAGCGAGTCGAGCACAGGAGTCGAAGATGCGAACGCGACACACATCGCAGTCTCTTATCTGGAGAAACATTATCCTCAATACAGAACGGTGAATATCAACTGTTTCAATAGAATCTAAATTAGACTATTCGCTGAGGCTCTCAAACTTTACTAAACTGGTAAGAACTGGTGCATCAACTTCTTTCCATTACTAATTCCCTGGAAATGTTTTTTTGATACTTTAGTCTTTGATAATTAATAGCAATATTTTATCAACTGTTTCAATAGAATCCAAACTAGACTATTCATTGAGACTCTCAAACTTTATTAAACTGGTAAGAACTGGTGCATCAAGTTCATTCCATTTCTAATTTCTCTGATTCACTGAGAAGTTTCTTGATACTTTAATCATTGATAATTTCATCCAGTGTGTTAATAGCAATATTTTATTAATAGTACGTTCTTCGTATAAACTTGTAGAAACATAGACCATTTTCATGGATGTGGCTGAAGATGTGGTGCGTTGCATGGTGGCACAGCGGTCGCGAGGATGACGACGAGGAGGAGGACATAGAAGGTGCTGAAAGTAGTCGCACAGGACACGGTTACGACGAGGCTATAACGCCGTTGTCAGTGGAAACCCCTCTCACCGGCACGGTCTCACGATCTGCCTCTCTGAGCGGGATCCATCCTACCACGTTGACCGTTGAGAAAACCATCAGTATAGCTGATAACCACGATTACAAAAAGACTAAGAAAGTCGGGGAACTGTCGACGAAAAGTGTCTCCAGCGATTCTGTATGTTATTGACGTTCCTGGAAGATTTTGCATGCAACCGGTGTCTCGCACTGATTTCCTAATCTTTTCCACCAATTATTCTTTTTACCTTCTTGTGAAAAGAAGTTATATTATAGAGATGATTAAAAAATTCAATTTTTCTGTTGCTGTTGTGAATTTTTTTCATTGGCACGTGTAAGCCACTGTATGCAAGTACATGAACACATTTTCTTATTTTAAATAGCAAACATTTTCAGTTTGTAATTTTACTTTGTTCTCACTGGTTAAGCAAGCCTTATGTTTCTGTCTTCTCAAGCTTCGCATCTTTGTACGTTTATCATTGTAAACTCTCTGCGTTGATCTCTCTCAATAGAATATCGAGAATAGAATTATATATACAGGGTAGGCCAAAAGTTTCTTCCCACTTATTTTTTTCTTAATAAGACATCAAAATACAAGAGGAAAAAAAACTAACTTTATTGATTTTAGATTAAATTTAAGTTCAAATATGATTTTTTCATTATGTTGACCGCCAAAGCGTTCGCAAATTTGTGCTTTTCTTTTTAAAGTAGAAAGTGACTTTTGGTTCAGTCTGTATATATATATATATATATATACATGTGTATGAAATGTACGATAATGTTCCAATGTTGCAACTTAGGTGTACACAATTCTGATCCGGCTTCCGACACGTGACACCGGCGGCGTGGGAAAATACACGGAGGGGCCGAGCATAAAAATGTATCACGAGGAGACGGTGAGCCCGTCGTTGATCACCAGGAGGCCGTCTCACATGCCCGACATAAGGATCCCCCTGAATACGAAGAACATCCCGAAAGTGTTGGCGAGCAAACCGGCTGCGAACAAAACCGCGAACAAGAAGAAGAAGAAGCTGCAGGAGAAGAAGGCCGATCGAAAGGCGGCGAAAACGTTGTCGGCCATTTTGCTGGCGTTCATCATCACCTGGACACCGTACAACATTCTCGTTCTAATTAAATCCATCACAGCCTGCTCCTGGTACATACCGCAGGAGCTATGGGACTTTTTCTATTACCTTTGTTACATCAACAGTACTGTGAATCCAATGTGTTACGCCCTGTGCAACGCGGCGTTCCGACGAACATACGTGAGGATCCTCAAGTGCAAGTGGCATAACAGGAACAGAGCCGCGATCGACAGAGGATGATATCAGTAGAAACGCCCGGCGTGCAACGTTCTGCGCGTTCAGGGGCGTGCTATCTTCTCTATCATTTTCTCTCTTCTCCTTTTAAATCATTCCTCCAAACGTGCTTGCCGATGATAAGGAAACTGAGTTGCTTTCGTGAGTCGTGACTTGACAGAGTTGGCTGAAATTATATATATATGTATATTCGAATGACACGTAAATGTGAATACAAACTCATTCGCCACTAACCTTGAGTAGATAAGTTATTCGAGGCAAAAACAAAGATTTAGTTATATAATTACATCGTAGAACGGAGTAAAAATTATTTCGATTGCATTGGATATGAAATCAATTGTTGACTATATTGGCTTTTACGGTGGATTTTATTTCTGAGAATTTATTGCTTTTTAGTAGGTCAATAAACTTACTCGAACAATTGTCTGGGATAATTCGAAATAACGTCTGGCTCTGTCTGTTTATTTCTATGTGTTGAGCATTCTTAATTATAAAGTATCTCGCTTTTGCTAATCGACGAGGAAATCAGACAAATGTGTTGTTCTGTTAACTTTTATATTTTCGTTATAAAAATCGTACTTGTTTTAAAAGCGAATTACTTTTTTCTTTATAGGCAAGTAATACGTGAGATTAGTAAAAGAAATTTTCAGCAAATTTTCAAAACGATCTAAAAAACAACATATGTTTGTAGAAAGATTTAAAATTCAAGCAAGTTAAAAACTCGAAGATTTCATTTCATAATTCTAGGTGTTAGATTAGGGGAAACACAGGGTGTTTACAACTCGACTTGATAAATTTTATAAGGTACATTTTGTACGCGATATTTCACATGTGTAATCACCATTGCACTAGGTTTTTCAATTTACAATTTATGTTTCCTGCATAAAAATAATAATTGACGTAGAAATTTCTATATTGAAAAAACACTGGAGGAGAAAGCAAGATGTATGATTTTTAATTGTACGATATATATACATATATATAGAAGTGATAATAATTACCAAGAGATTGGAATAATTTATTAGTGAGAGAGGGAAGGAATTCTCTTTTGATTTTTGAAGTCGAAACTTGGAATGATCTCAGATGTTCGCGGTTAAACAGCTCAGATTTCCGCGTTTGAGGCAATGCAACGTGAATACTGCCATGAAAAAAAAAAAAAAAAAATCTTTATAAATATATTTCTGAACCGTACAAAAGGAAAGACAAGGAGGGTGTTAGATAACCGGCACGTGCGCGACAGTGCCAAAATTTGTGACTTGATTTCAGCGGCGATCGGAGACAGTGATCCTGCCGCGGATCGAGTTCTTTTCTATTGTTTGTGAAATGAGATCAGTTTCTGCAAACATGAAACGTTGCGTGAAATGACGCTTGGAAATCTGTTGAAAACCTGTAGTCACCAAGAGTAAAACCAAACATCAAAAACTGTTAATTTGTTAAACACCGAATCAAAATTAATGCTTGATTTTTGGAAATTTATTAAAAGCCTTGATTGATTGCGAGATTGGCTCGGTTTTCAGGATTGTCGTCGCTGAATATGCAGATGTAACGTGTTCGGGGAACTGACTGAATTTCATGAACCTCCTACACACACACAAAGCTATACCGCACAAAAAAACGAAATCTATTTGAATCCTAAGGAAAAAAAAAAAACGTTAATAAACAAGCATTTTCTCGTGCGTTTTATTCGAGAAACACACAACGCACTCGATGTACATTTTAAATAGTAGTCCAGTTGTAAATGAGTGTTTTAAGTGTAATTAGTCATGAAGAACCAAAAAAAAAAAAAAAAAGAAAAAGAAAAAAAAACAAGCGCTATTATACATAGAGAGTGTATGTCATAACTATAATGGCAACAAAGTGGATATAAAGGAATATAAGAAAAAAAGAAAAAAATAATAATAATAAAGCGCTGCATCGATTCTTTCATGTTAAGAAGGAAAAAACGTTCTAACACTTTCGTATTAAATAACATTCTAATCACACGTGCCAAACGAAGCTTTAAGATATCAATAGTATAGGGCGGTAATTTAATAAATGTATCCTTTCAAAGGTATACTTGTATTAAATCTACAAATAAGGACTTAAGGATTTGCTGTCGTTTTTTTTTTTTTTTTTTTTTTTTTTTTTTTATTATGAACGTTTACTGTAAAATTTTTTCTTTACGAAAGAACGTTACACGGTTTTCTACAGTTGTGTGTACAGTACTTCTCGGATAAATGGATACAACAATGATTTTCTATACGATGGTACAGATCTTGATAGTGTCACTAGTCATTTTTAACAATTGACATATTACTTTGTTACTGTTTACTGTTCTAAGAGTAGTTTATGGGTTATTCGGAGGCTATATTGATCTATTGATCTGATCAGTTCTGTAAAATTGAATTTTCTTTACAATCAAAGGCGAAAAAAGGTGAATTTGATTTCTGAGAGATTCGCTTATTACATATAGTGAGTATTAATAATGGATGACTGAGATTTTTAAACTCAAATTGTTACACGCGACAATTTACTGAGATTCTCTTAATTTTTTTCTAATATTTTCTTTGAGAAAATCTCAGTAATATTTTGATAACTACACGTGAATTAATAGACAGAAAATGATAGAAATGATCTACATGTGGACACTTATCCGGGGACTATTGTAACTTGGTCATTCTACGTCAGATTTATATATTATAATGAAGACTAAATCGGCTTTTCAAATAATCCACGTCTAAGTAAAATAAATTTATAATTTCTAACTTGATGAAAGGTAAAAATTAACTTTTTTTCTTATTAAATGTGTAGCAGATAAATCGAGTTCCCAAAACTAAATTAATAATGCAGCAATTCAACAGTAAACTATTCACATTATTGATGTAATACTAATAACAATGTTGGATGTTTGAATATAGTTATTGTAAAAGTTCATTATTTATATAATCTTGAATTGTCGTTGAATTCTGCTTAGGAACATAAGTACAAAGTAATTCATTTCTCTGAGACGAGTCTTTGTCAAGGTATTCTGTGATCTTTATTGAAACTACCTTTTTTACACACACATATATATATATATTTTATATTTAATATTTATTTGTATACAGTTTATCACTCTATATATTGGCGGACAACTCTGTTCCTTTTTTTTTCTTTTTTTTTTTTTTTTGCAGAATATTGTTACGTTAATTTATTTGTTACGCTTAATATTTCTGTATGCCCGTTTAAAATAGGATTTCAGTATTTGTCGTCGTTTATTTTCATGCGGTCACTTTTTACAACCAATTCATTTACACTGTTGTAATAACACAATAAAATATAATTCATATTTGAATGTGAAATATTATCAACATGATACAGGACGTTTCAAAACTACAGGTTGACCAAGCAGAGAGTTTACATAACGATGAAAGAAGTTCAGTTTTATTTTTTATTTTATTTTAGTAAAAGAAATTGCAAACTTTTGTAGCCTGCCAATCGGTTCCCCCGTGAAATTTGTCTCTCCGTTCATTAATATTGTTAATTAGTTGTGCATCATATTTAATTTTATTGCATTAACATATATTAATGCAATAATTCCACGTTGATTACTGCTTCCACTTTCCAAGCCTCTAATTTTGAAACAACCTGTATAAAATCTGATTATAAAATTCGAAAACCCACAAAGGATATTGCTCGAGCCAAAAAGGAACCATGTTATTTCACTTTGTGAAATGTCTATAAATTTCAGAGCCCCTCGTTGTTAAAAATTTTGAAATTTCTGCCGGAAGATTAAAAATCAATTTGTGTGCTAAAGTCGACTGATCAAGCCTCGTTGATACTGCCATTTAAAGTTCTAAAACTCTAGATTTTAATAAGTCACGAATTCCTTTTTAAAGTAATCTCTTTCGTTTGATGTATTATAAAAAATAAAAAAAAAAAATAAAAAAACAATCGTCTTCTACATTGAATGAAAATTACTAATAAAAGGAAAGCCGATTCCGTTTACATCAACATTCGACTACAATTTGTTTAAGTTGTGGTATAATTTCCAACCTAATATACTAAAACTAAAGAAACATGAAAAAAAAAAAAGAGAAATCGAAAGTATACATTTATTAATTAAGCACACGGTCAACTTGACAGCAGTCGCGAATCATTTTAAGGAGCGTGTTTCGTAATTACTCTAGAAACGATGAGCAATCACATAATTCATATGTACCTTATATTTATCTCTCAGAGTTGGGCAAAATTTCATTCGAACAGAAATCTCTTTGCGTTAACATTATGTTGCAGATAAACTGTTTCTAAAATCTAAGTACTGAATACGTTTCCAAATTTTTTTCAATTCAATTGTCTTTTCTCTCGGTGAACTTTTCTTTCAAATGTTTCATTTTCGAACGATCTTATCGCTCATTGATGATTGAAGTTAGATAAGTTCAGTGAAATAAAAGATGTTGTTGCTCGAATAATTTTTCAGTCGAGAGAAATTTAAATGAATCGAGAAGATGATAGACATTCGAATAAAGAAATGATTCGAGTGATACTCAACTCTGCTTAGAACCGTGTATTATAATTGTAAATACGTGCACATGCGAGAAACGCAGTTCGATGTTTAATGTTAAAAGAAGAGCCGGCGACGGGGGGGGGGGGGGGGGGGGGGGGGAGTTGAGAAGTGAGGAGCTGCTACGTGTACAGAGACCTCCCAAGTAACTCACGTTCCTTAACACGACTGTTGCAAAGTTCTCCTAGTTAATGTAAAACGTCGTCGATATAAATTGCGAGATTCGTGCGGATGGTGAATTGCTGCGCAAAATAGTGCGAGCCAATTTTCATACGCACACATCTGTGTAAATAAGGAACGATCAACTTACATTACCAGTTCAGTTGCATTTATTTCCTAATAGAACAGCGATTTTTGCTAGAGTATTTGTGAGATATTTATTTTTTTAAATACGAATTATATTTATTGAACGAATTCGATTGTCGATATATTGAACAGACCGCAAATTGCAAATTATGTTGATACTGATATTGGAAACTTGATTTATTTGTTTTAATTTTAATTTTTCTACTACGTTTTTATTTTTACTCCGAACCTTTTTATCTAATCTTTATCTTTCATCTGGCGATTAATTTATTTTAATTGTTTCTTTAGGTAATATAGTGATTAATTGGCGATGTAATCCAGTGACACTAATTTTTTATTTATTTATTTATCTGCTTCTCTTTATTTATTTATCTTAATTTGTCTTGGACGACTCGTGTTGTCGTTATGACATTGATGTAACATCGTTTATAATCATTTCGCAATTTTTTTGCGCAGTAGCCTCGAGTACCTAACGAAAGAAAAGAAAAAAAGAAAAGAAAGGAAGAGAAATTTGCCAAGTAAGAAAACCTACGCACATAAACATGATTATAACATTCATATATACATATACGTATATATAATATACATATATATATATAAAATATACGATATAGAAGGGAAGATGTACCGTAAGGTGTGCCAATTTTTTAATTTTTACATCGGTTCGAGCGTCAAACGGGAAAAAAAAAAAAGAAAAATGTATATTTGTTGTACGTTTCCTCTAGGAGAAGAATGAAAAAAAAAAAAGAAAAAGAAAAAGAAAAAGTGAAAATGTAACGAAGGGAGGGGAACGTGTCCGAAGCCTCCGCTCTACTTTCGTCGATATCCGATTCAAGTTTTGGACACGCACAACTGGAAATTTTTTCACCAGTTTCGTGGACCTCGCGCGCGAATGAATTCTCGAATCAAACTCGATATTATTCGTGCGCTATTTCGAATTTTCGCGGAGAGACGGAAAGGGTGAGATCAAAGAAATCAAATTTCAAGCTTGGAAAAACTCGAAGACGAAGTAACAGTAATAATAATAATAATCGTTAGAAAAAAAAAAAAAAAGAAGATATTTCATCAAACTGCGGACGTGTTCAATTTTTTCACTGTACAACCGAACGATTTGCAACTCCTCGACTCGGATGTTACCCCCCGATTTCAAATACTGTTTAATTACTATTTCATTGGATACGATACGCATACCTTACCGAGCACCTCTTTTGCGTAGAGCCGTGTGTATTACTTGTAGGACGGTAGAGAAATTTGTATTTTCGCTCTCGACACGAGTAACAACATAATTCATATATATCCTATTCTATATAAAGACGGACGATATATAAATATCCTCGGGAAAATATTTTCTTACCACTTCTCTCAAAACTCTCAATTTCCATTTTTCGGCGATTTTTGTCCATTTCTTCTCGATAGGTATGTAGGTTTCGTGGCTCGGACTTTTGTCGAATAGCTTTTTCAATTGCAATAATTCGCGATAATCGGTGGTCGTTGATTTTTCAAAATTCATTGTGTCGTTGTTAACGAGGTGTGTAATATCATTTCTTTTGTCCACAAGTTTAGAGAAGCAGAAGCATGTAAGCTGCAAAAGAAGAGAGAGAGAGAGAGAGAGAGAGAGAGAGAGAGAGAAAGGAAAAAAAAACTTGTACGTAGTAGAGCACAGAGTAAAAAAGAAGAAGAAAAAGAATTGTGTCGAACCGTTTCAAAATGACGATGTCTTCGCATAAGCGTGTTATCGAAATAACGAGAAATGGTGTGCGACTTTTTTTAACCATTATTGTAAACACCAATATACTCGATCTATGTTTATATACGTGTTTTATATTAACAAAGAGTACATAAGGCGACAAAGCAAAAAAGAAAAAAAGAAAAAAAAGAAAAAAAAATCGTTGGAAAAAAGACGTATAAAAACTGGAAAAAAGAACGTATAGGGAAAACTGTATGTAACGATACCAGTAGGATCTGGATAAAATATACCATACTATCTGTAACGAACAAACGTTTTGTTTTTGAAATTGATTCACTGATTGATTGATCTTTCTATTTCTGCCCAGTTACAGGTCCTTAGGAAAATATTTACTAAGTTATTGAGTACTGACTCAGAGAGGAGATGAAGAGTTGAAAAAGCACGTAGCATGCCTTAAAAAACCAGTTTTTATTTGGATTTTTAAATATGCATTTATTCTACGTATAATTTGCTTGATTAAAAAGAGTATTTCAGTCTAAAGATTGAAGTATTTCAGTAAAAAGATTTTTTCTTTTAAGGAGTACAGCTAGACAAAAATTAGAAACAGATCATTACTTAAGAACATTACATATATTTACAGTATAATAATTTCATTAAAAAACTACTTATTGCTATTGTACATACAAATTGTCATATATACCTTACATTTTTTTTTTTAATCACGTTTGCACGACTAGTTAAGTAACGTTATAACCTTTGTAAGTTCGCGATAAAAATTTAAACGGTGAGTTCTGGAAATATATTTATCAAAATCTGATCCAGAAGAACGTACGCCAGATGCTTGTTAAGGGGTGCGTTTTGTAACGAGTCCAGAATGGAATCCATTATTTCAGTCCATGGTTTGTAAAATCCCATTAACCAACAAGGTAATAAACCGTACAGTCCAGTTTTTGCTGTTTCATAGTAATTTCGACGATTCGCTTGAGCAGGCAAGTCTTTCTTCTCGCCTAAAACTCTTGTGTGCAGAAGTCTCACCACGTTTGCTGCACGACCACCGCTTAGAAGTTTCGCCAAAGCGTTGTAAAGCAGAACGTTGACGTATGGATCAACTTTTGCGCGTGATGACGAGGCGAACATCCATAGAATTCGAGAAATCACCAATGGAACTTTCAGTAATCTCACTACTGCAACAGCATAGAAGTAATGTATCAGAATATTAGAATATAGATTCTCCCGATCTGGATTAATTTTAAATTTACCAGCATCCACTATGCAGAACGAGGCGCCTTTAACGTGAGATCGTTCCAATGAAGGGGAAGGCAAAGTTTTGAAGTTAAGATCCAAGTCAAGATTGTTGCCGAATGCTCCAAATAAAAAATCACGGCGTCCTTTTCTCCCCGTTTCTTGGACATTTGAACCGTCGCTCGACGGTTCAACTCCAATGTCAGTGTAATCATTCTTAATGTTAGTCGAAGACAAAAACACTGCCATAAATTTATCTAAATTTTGTCCTTTCTCCTTCCGTAATTTATACGCCATACTTTGATACAATATGCCAATATCTGGCGTACTATAATTGGTGAAATAAGGTTTCAAATTTGGCATGGTTAAGAAGTTGTACAATAATTCGCTGCTTCTGAGCACTGGTTTCGACAGTAATTTTTCCAAAAAGTCCTCATATCTTTGTCTATTAATGGCGCAAGATGAGTGAGGATTTTTCCTCGATGGTAATGGCGAGTCGCTCAATTCTTTGTCACCGTGAAACTCTGCCAATCGTGTTCGTAAGATATAGAAATCTTGATCACGGCGCAACACAGTCCAGGACTTCCCCTCGGCAATGTTGTTGACAGCAATGACGTATAATGTTTGATTATCTCCGGTTTCGATGTGCGGAATGCTAACTCGCCATGTTGTTAAATCTCTGTGGAAACTGTCATCAGAATATTTGATCTCGTTGTAAGAACGAGAAGGGTAATCTATCTCTTCGCCTTGGTACATGTCCTGATAGGGCATCCCATCAATCGTGGATAATCTCAGAACGCTGTCAATCTTTGGAAAATGATTTCCAAGCTTTGAAGTTGCATTTGCGGATCCACTGGTAACACTTTAAATAGAAAAATAATTATATTTTAAAGTATACGAAAATTTAAGAAAAAGAAAGATTATAAATATATATGTACTTGTGAAAAATTCAAAGATACACAGATGCATGTAGTATGCAAAAATGTACATTGAGAATTACAATGGTGTAATTCAGTCCATTCTTTATATTTATTTTTTTTTTTTAAGTTAGAAAAATGTATCGCAATATATTTAAAAATTAAAACACCGACTTGCACGATTTCCGATCTATAAATGTAAAAAAAAAATTACCTCAATCGTGGAGATTGTTTAACTCGACTTGGGTCTGGCTGTCCGCATAATAAATCATACAACTGTAAAGCGAAATAAACGAAAGATTATTATGATTACTTGTTCAAACAGAAAATAAAGAGCAATTGTCCTTCAATTTTCTCACTTGATAACTATGATGGAAAGGTGGTAGGCAAGTAGATTCTAACAAAGCATGTGCTTCTTGATGTGCTTCGTAAAATGGTCGTGAAGTTCTCATCTCCTGAATTTTCTTTGAACCTCTTTCTAAAACTAAAAACGGACGTTGTTTTGAACACAGTCTAAATTGAAAATTTAAATTTACAATATATACTTATATAAAATATAGAAATTTGCAAGTCGATTTCTAAAACGAAATATATTTACTTTGCCGTATACCCATCGATATGTCTTCCGGTAAATGTAGATATTCTGGACCGTCAGGATCCAAGTACGTTGCATACATGTTTTGAATATCCGTGTACAAAGTATTCTCCGCGTTCGAACTCATTTCTGGGTTTAACATACGTTTACTTAGATCATCTGAAAAAGAAAGAATTTTCATAAGTTTTCTTTCATAAAGAAATTCTAACCAATACCAATATTTTTGTTTAATATAGTGCATACAAAATATACATTTACCAATGTCTAAACAGAATTGAAAGAGATTCATGGGACCAGTCTCTTTAATGTGTTGCATAAACATGTACAATAACCGAGGATCGTTCAAAATTTCGTCCAACGAAGGTTTCAGGCGATTCTGCGTGATTTTTGACATCGTAGGGATCGTTACCCAGTATTGCAACATCGGTACGTTAACCGTGTCTACTTGACTGGACACTGAACCATCACGATGAGTCGACAATACTACTAGTGCATTTATATTATCCGGATCAGCAATCGCGTCTATTGCTGGCAGCAAGATCCAGTTAGCCAAAATTTCTCTGAGTATGACCTGAAAATAGAATGAACGAACCAATGAATCTTGAATATGCGAGAAACAAGCTTGAAGAAACAAGCTCTTTCAATATACGTGTATCATAAACATGAAAAAGTCAAGAAAAGAAAATTGATATCTTTTTAAACTAACTTTGTTGTTAGTAGACACATGAATAGCCGGTAATAAATACGGTACAATCGCTGTTACAGCTCCTCTCAGATAATTCAATTCCGCCTTACGTGAGTAACTCGCCGGATGTATCTGACGACCAAAATGATCGATCAATTGATTTCCAAAGCAGGATGTGTCAGATATGTCTCTCATTTTAGCGCTGAATGTTTTCCAATCTTGAGCATGCTGCAGGACCAAAGGTATCAAGTGACAGAATATGACGTTGGGCACGTCTGTACGAAACAGTCTGACTGCAATGTCTTTCGTTGCAGTAGCTGCGGCCAAACGAAGCTGTTGTACAAAAGCTTCGTTCGCTGAAAAGTCCGAATACCATGCGCAAACATATTTCTGTAATAAATCCTCTAGAAGCTGTGGAAATGAATTTTACATCCATCAATTATGTATCTTTTTTTCCTTTGGTATTTTTGTTCTATTGCAAATCATTGCATTAATGCTTACTATTAATTAAATAGGAATTTTGTTCATGAATATCCACAAGAAAATGCAAGACTCAAATGAGTTTTGTTTGGTTTACCTGTTCTAATGCATGATCAAGATCCTTTGGTATCTTCACCTTGGTCGAATGTGGTAACAATTTGTGCCTCTTGCAGTTATTTTTACTGCAAACGCCGCACGGATCCTTAATCTCATAGGTTGGATTAAATGTGTCGCTTAGTGCATTTAAATTCACAAGTGCTACACCGATATACTCCAATATAACAAGCCCATAAAAAACACTTGTTATGTACAGACCACATATGACAAGTACCCAGAAGAAGCTGAAATTCATTAATCAATCATGTTATTATGTTCTTTAACTTTTTGTCTGATACAATCTTTATAATTTTTGCTTAATTAACATTTGCTTTTTATGTCAACTTTATATAAAATATAATGTACTAAATCTAAATTTCAAAGTAAACTGAATAAATATCAAAAATTTATTTTATAACGAAAAAATTATATATATATTTTTTCTTTTTTTTTGGTGGAAAAAATAAAGCCATAACCTTGTAACAAAATATCGAAGATGCGAATAATTAAAATTGGATATATATTTCAAAATGTGTTAAAATGCAAATGTTTGAATTGCTTACCTTTCGAATACGATCGAAATAAATGCAGTTATTGTAATAATTGTTAAGGGAATTACAATGTTACATGCGTTAAATACCGTTTTACAAAAGTCTTTAAAGGCAGACACAAGTGCCATGATCTTGTTAAAAATTCCGTTTCCTCGAATTATGGTGGAACATGGTTAATACGGAAAAAAAGAACATTTCGAACATGAATGAACTACAATCTGTGACAGATGCTTTATGACGAAATGCGTGACAATAACATTCGATCTATATATAGTATAGTATAGCTATACGAAATTACGAATATCAAATGGATAATAAAGCAGCGAATGTTAACATCAGTAAATCATTTAAAGAGTAATTTTAAAGTCATTTAAAAGTAATCAGAATTGAAAATAATCCACAAGTTTTGTCTAACGTGGAAAATTGACATATATTTAGGCTTGAGTTAAATAATTCTCAATATCTATAGGTTACAAAATGTGTTTTATTCCATTTATCGTTGTCATTGCTTTTAACAACATATTATTACAAGTTCAGTAAAAAATAAATTATAATTTCAGTTCTATCACAAGTTGAAATACAGAAATGTAAAATTATCGTACAAGGTATATAATTATTTTGTTTTTACGTTGTTGTTATTATTTTGCAATTCCTGGGATGTTTGGATAGCTCTCTTTTTTAAAATCTGTGCATTTCTCCTCTGTTCTTTGGTTCGCAATCGGGAATCTCTTCTTTCTTCTCTGGTCCTTACGCGATTTCTTTTCGATATTGGATCTGGGACAGCCGTGTGAGGTTTCAAAATGCTAAAGCACTTTGGTTCCTTTGATTTCAATAATTCCCTACGTTGTTTCTTTGAAAGCACTGGTCTTGTCGCAGAAATAACGAACAATTCTGAATTCTCGCGAGCAGCAAACGAACCTAACCTCTCCTCTAGCCGGGTATTTTCCAAGAATTTGTCAACGTCACCCATATCCACATATTTACGCCATGCTTTCTTGTTCTTTTTAGAAACTTTACGCTTCTTGCCACCAGTCGCAGTCATTTTCGCTTAATTAAGAAAATTACGTTCTACGTAATGCTTAGCCCGATCTTCAAATTTCTAGGTTTAGGTTATGTCTCGTGTTTGGTGAACTTGTATCTAAAACAAAGACACAACACCTCGTGTATTCTATGCCATAAAAGCTATTATGAGAAGAACTACGATTTTAGAAGTAACATACAGTTGATTTTACTGTATAAATTGATTTTATTTTTTCTTTGCAAGATATTTTTCCTATCTATATATTCATAATTTTTCATCATTATCAGGCCTTATAGTCCAATCGTTACCAAATTGGTTTGACGGCGTGAAGATTTCTTTCTCTTCATGCATGTATGCCTTACTGTGTTCGACGAGTCGCGTGAAGATTCGGCTTGTTGCCGACACACGTGTTGCGTATGCGTATACACACGCGCGCATCACCTGTGGTGCGGTCAGAAGGCTGGCCACAACACCAGAGAAAAACTCGTACTTACCGATGGCTGTCATCGCTTTTTCTGACAGATGTTTTTACGTGATCTATCGCGCGAGTTTCGCCGCATCCGAGCCTATTCCAGCGACAGTCTCACCTTTAGATCATCTCTGAGCACAGGCATCGCCGTGATAGTCGGTCACCGATTTTGACGGAGTGCGCTCGCTTTTCGGTTTAAAGGGTGCGTCATTGGAATTCCAAGGATCACGATCACGGGAGGGAAAAGATCGTGTGTCAAAAGGGGACTGAGAGAATAAAACTGTAGGGATAGAAAGAAGTCGAGCGAAAGGGGGATCGGAGTGTAAAATAGAGTGTGCGACTGTGAAATAGAATGGCGAAGACGTATGATTATTTGTTCAAGTTGTTGCTGATTGGTGACTCAGGGGTCGGTAAGACGTGCGTCCTCTTCAGGTTCTCCGAGGATGCTTTCAATACGACCTTCATCTCGACCATTGGTAAGTACACCCTTTTCCTCGCCTCTTTTCATCTATTAAACTGTTCTTCTCGTTTGCTTTTATTTGTTCAATCTTATTTACAGATTTCGACGCAGCTTCAGATTAGTAGTACATATTTTTTAAATGAATATCAGTGTGCGAATTACTCATCAAGTCTCCGTGTATGATTGAATGACTTGAATTGTCAGGAGATTGTTTTTTCTCAATAACGTTTCCTATTTTAAAAAGTGTAAATATAGCCATATATTTGGTTTCTTTTTTTTTTAAGATATAGCCTTTTAGAGAACCAATTTAGATGCTTGTTGCTTATGCAACGATCATTTGAATATCATACACTATCTTTGTAGAAAAAACCTTTGAGCATAGCAGTGTATTTATTTTTGTTCTGTAATTTGTATACCTTTTGTTTTGTATACCAAGTTCCTGATTTAGATTTTTTTTTGTTTATTGAAATTTATAGAAGGATCTTTATTTGTTTATTTGTTTATCTTATATATCTTATATATATTAGGTTATTTATTTTACATATACATATGTATGTATAATATTTGTATTTCTATATACAGATTTAGCTATTTATATGTTTTACGAAATATTCGTGCAACTTGATAAATCATTCTTATCTATTTATGTGTACTTCATTTAGTATGATGAATTTTTTATTTATGCCTAAAAGAAGTTGATATTACGTACAGGTGTTAAAATTAGGCATAATTAATAACACTTGAGACTAAGTTTTCTTATTTATTTATGTGTATTATATTAAAAGAGATTCAAATAATGAATTCATAGAAACACGTTTTTTATAAATATGATAAAATGTGTAAGAAATTCAATGTCAATGAATTTCTGTGTTAATTGAATTTGTAATTCGATTTTGTATTCAAGTAAATTAAAAAAAATTGATACATGAAAGAAGATCCATTAGAAGTATCACATTACTAGTAGTCATATGTTTTATATCGTATTATGTTTTTTTTTACATTTATATATGTGGTTTGAACAAAATGTAACTTTGTATGAAAAAAGTTTGATTTTTTACCAATGTTAATTATCAATCTTCTTATCACAAAATTATATAAAGTACATGAAATCAGATTAGCCAATTATTTTTCTTATTAAACAAAAGGTGGAATATTTTATGGAACTTAATGCACCTATATTTTTAAGATAATTCTATATTCTATATTCTACATTTTGTATTTTGTAAGCTATAGGCTATATTTTGTATTTTATAGTTTGAATATGTTGCAAACTTTTGATAATATCCTAATGCAAAGAACTTAGGCAATTATATATAATGTTTGTGATGCATCAATAGAAAAATATATGTAAAGTTTATCTGAAATAATCTGAAATTTTTAAAATGCTTAACAATTATCCTATATAATAGTTTTGTGTAGTCATGCAGAATAATAAATTTATGTTGATTCAAATGCATATTCATGCATGATTAATTATTCATAGCATAACATGGATTCTTTTATTTGTAAATGTAATTCATAATACTTTATAATTGTTATAACTTTGATTTAAATCAATTTTTAAGTAAATTAAGAAAAGAATATAGAATAGATATTACAGAATTATACTTGAAAACATTTATTAAAATATTTGAAATAAATTTGAAATTCAGTCTAGTATTCTCAGAGATTCATAATATTATTAGAATATTTATTATATGCAAGATGTTAGAAGCATTTTCAAAAAAAAAAAAAAAAAATATATATATATATATATATTACTTATTTTCTTTAGTTCAGTAAATTCTTTTAACTATTGATTTATGTTACTTATTTATTTCATGCTTCCAGGAATTGATTTTAAAATAAGGACCATAGAATTAGATGGCAAGAAAATAAAATTACAAATATGGTAAGTACTAAGTAACCACTTTAGTCTTTTAAAACATGAGTCCATAATGTAACTATTAAAAAGAATGTAGTGTCAATACCTGATTTTAATAGAAATGTAACAAATTTAGAATTTTTTAATAGATATCAAATATTTTTGTGAAACATCTCTATTTCTTAAGAAAATTAGATTGCTTAAATGAATTATTCAGGGTAATAACATTGTTTTATATCTTTTTAAAGGGATACAGCAGGTCAAGAAAGATTTCGTACAATAACCACAGCATATTATCGTGGTGCAATGGGTATAATGTTAGTTTATGATGTAACCAATGAGAAAAGTTTTGAGAACATAAAGAACTGGATTAGAAACATTGAAGAAAATGCTTCGGCGGATGTGGAGAAGATGTTATTGGGCAATAAATGTGAGCTCACAGAGAAGCGACAAGTTTCAAAGGAACGAGGAGAACAACTTGCTGTTGAATATGGAATTAAATTTATGGAAACCTCTGCTAAATCTAGTATCAATGTTGAGGAGGCATTTTACACTCTTGCACGAGACATTAAGGCGAAAATGGAAAAGAAACTGGTAAATATGTTTTTTCAATATGATTCTGCTTTTTTCTTTTGTTTTTCTCTGTAGTTAGGACAATAAAATGAAAAACGATTTGATTAATAATTTGTTATTATCACCAAAAATAGTTAGTTAATAGTAAAAAAAAACAAATTTTTAACAAAATATAGACTGGTAATTTTTTTCAGTGGTAATTCTGAAATTCGTTTTAATCATTCTCCACAGATAAAGATTAATATTTGTTTAGATATAATTTAGTTGCTTTTACAGATACGTTCTAGCAAATAGTTTTATATTGATTAACCATCATTTCTTTGTTTCCTGTGTCTGTTTCTCTGTGTTTGGTGCGGGTCTGTCTCGGCAGAAGGTAACTCTTTCTCTCTCTACATATTACAATGTTTTGTATACCTACTTGTAATTTATGCTTTTCATATTAACGCATGCATATATTGTTTAAATATTAAAAAATAATTTTTCGCTTATTATTAATTATAAATTCATTGCAAATTATTTTCTCTCCAGTTGTTCCAAAATATCACTTACTGTGGAAAATTTTTCTGATTTAGTTACTAATATTATTATGTATGCATGTTTTTGTCTATGTTGAAATCTGCTCATTTTATCAAACCATGCTTTTACTATGTAATAAGATGCATATTAAAAGTTTATGTGCACATAATATTTTACAGACTTCATTTCTTATTGTTGCTTTTACGTTACTAATATTTTTAATTTTCTTTTAAAAATCTTGTTCCTAAATATATTTTTTTTATTGCATTTACTTTTTGCATGTGGTTTGAAAAGAATTTATTGTATCACAGATATTGCATAAAATGTTTAATATTATATAATTTAAAAAAACAATACTAATTGGAATGTTTTTTAAATTATTAATAACCTTTTTCTGGGGACATTTCATTTGAGTTCCATGAGAAAATAGAAATAATTGTAATATTAACAAGCTAAATAATAAAAATAACATAAATAATACCAATCTAATTGAATTGTTTGAAATGACTTGTTACTTAGACTGTGGATTTATATTCATTTATAGCAAATTTGAAGATGCAAAAATACATACAATGTTTAAAATATTTAGTAACCAAAATTCATAGAAATATGAATTCACATATCTGCAGTACATTTATATTTAAAAATAGGGTACAGGGAGAAATATAAAATTGGTATTTGACAGTGATATTGTTTTGAACACAGGAGGCATCAAACCCACCAAAGGGAGGAGGACATCAGCTGAAACCATCCGAGCCACAGAGGAAGCCACCAAGTTGGCTTGCACGGTGCACTATACTCTGACCCTTCAGCCGGCATTACCTCGACCGTCACCCACTACTCTTTACCCTCGGTCTCCTTCGCTCGCTGCACGTCGCGAGTACTTCTGTGATTTTACTCCTTGACGGCCACCTTCGTTTCCCTCCGTCGCTGTCGGTCTCTCTTTTTTACTGATCACATAGGAGCTCTTTTTATCCTGGAGGAGAAACTGTCTTTCCCCTCGCTCTTTCCGTAAAGAAATTAAAACGACAAAAAAAGTAAAAAAAGAAAAAAAAGGAAGAGGAAGAAGAAGAAAAAAAGAAAAAGAAAAAGAAGAGGACGAAGAAGAAGAAATGAAAAAAGACACCTTCAAGAATTTCTCGAAGGGAACGAATCGCGAATTGTGATAATTTTTGATAATTTTTTAATGACGCTCGAATACCACCATAAATCACATCGTTTCTACTTGTCACGTTTTTCGTAACGAAGTACCGGGAGTGCAATTGATCGAGCAGTCTTTAAAACGCTTGTGTCGCGTAAAATCGATATCAGTATGTCTGAGGAAGGTTAATTTTTAACCTTTAGATCAGTCAATGAGCAATTTAGAAACTAAATCGATCTTTTAGGATCGCGCGTCTCAAGTGACGCGCGATTCTGCTTTTCGTTTCGTCATGCGATTCATACACATATTGTTGCAGGCTTTGCTATAACTGAGAATAGTAACGATAAGCTGGAAGTTGGTCACCCGTAGAAGCAATAAGCAGCCGTTGATTTGTTTTAAGTGTTAAATTACAGTGGCTCGTGGAACTGTTTAAATACTTACCATGGGGAATTTTTATGCGTATATTGCATGTTGTATGAAACTTATTTTTAATGGAGGATGAGCTTCAATGTCAGTACAATAGGAGACGACTATCATGATTATATTGATAACATGTTTCAAACGAGAATTAGTATGCAGTACACGGTTGTCTTTACCATGAAATATCGAAAATGGTTTAGATTAGGTTTGAAATAATATCAAGGCCTATTATGTAATAGATACATTTGTGATCTCTGTGAAACATAAGTAGTTGTATTGAATATCTTTGATGCACTAAATATACTCATGATAGTTAGATCTTGCTACTACAGCGTTGTAATTTTAAAAAGTTTTGCACAACACAATATATTCATAATGTATTCATGTCCACATGCGTTTTGAATAGTTTCGCAAGCTGCTGTATGGAAATTTCTGTTCTCGTTTACACGATTGTCCGATATTCCACGAGTTCAGGAATTTTGCTTCTCTTTTATTAAAATTCGGCTATATATTAAGTCACACAGACATGGAAATTATGAAATGTTTTTGTATTTTTGCGTTCGCATACAAAGTTTCTCCTCCAAGTTTCAATTAATCAAGGAGTACGATCGATTTTTTAACACGTTTATTTTTTCCCTTTTTTTTTTTGCATTCGCTTTATTTAAACGAATGAAAAAAGAAAAATAAAGAAAGAGAAAACGAAAGAAAGGGATTTCTCTCTCGAGAAATTTACGAGCAAGAAATTTCTTCCTTTTTCCCCGATACATTTTGAAGCTATTTGTTTATAAGACATTGTAAAAGGAAGACAAAAGAAAAGAAAATAGAAAAACGAAGGGGGATGCGAATAGGTGAACAATGGGCGGTCATTTTTTATATATAAATATATAAATAAATATATGAAAAAAAATATATATATAGATATGTGTATACCTGTATCTATATATATATATATATATATCTATATACACATCAAGTCAAGTTAGCTTTTTCACCAGATCGAAGAGGGACTCTTCATTTAATTAATTCATCGATTAATTAGCGCAAATTCAGAATTCTAAGAATATGAGAAGAAGAAGAGGAGGTTCTTTCGATATTTTTCTTTTTATTTTCTATCTTTCTCTCTGTTGTTGAAAAAAAATGACAAAAAAAAGTAACAAGAAAAAAGATTTGAACACAGACTTCGTCTTCGTTTAAAACGCTTGTTGTAATAGTTTTTCTTTTTCCAACAGAAACAGGGGGTTCTCTTTTTTGTTGTTTTCCCCTCGGGGAAACGGAGGAAAAGGGACCCCAATCTGTTTCCACTTATATACTTAAAATATACGATTATTATAATACATTTTATATTAATCCTATTCGTCTATTTTTATTGTAATAACCTGCCTTTCCTTTGACACGGAGACGCGATCAATTTTTTAATTGTCATTGTCAAATGTTATTATCGATTAGTTGCGTACAATAATTATAACGTTACACGATTCCGTTTATAATGTTATTGATATTATTTATACGACTACGACGATTCAACGTCAACTTTTTTTTTAATCTTAGTAGATATAGACGTAATGCTATTTAAAAAAAAAAAGAAAGAAAGAAAGAAAGAAACTATGCATCACATACGAATAATTTTTCGTTTTTGTTCTTTTCTTTTCTTTTTTTTTTCTTTCTTTTCACCGAATCGAGAACTCAGAAAAAAACACCCAATTTCAATTTCTTAACAAAATGGAACAAATTAAAAATGGCAACGAATTAACGGCTAATCTTACAATCTTAAACTGCTTGGAGCGCAAGGATGATGTACATACAAAATTGTCAGTAATTTTTTAACATGTTTTATAACGATATAAGCATTGTAATTTTATTTCGAAATATTTTATCAAGTCGAAATAAACCTCTTACTTATCAGAATGTATCGAGAAACCGAAATGAAATAAATGTTGGTAATCATCGAACTGATTCGTTTATTCGTTGAGAGTTGTTCTCATCGTTGTTTGTACTTGTGTGAAATTTGCAGAGAACTCGTTGAAGATCCTATCTAGTTTTTCTTCGAACAACGCGGAATCTTGCATCTTCGTTTTTAAATTTGTCAACATTTCCTTTAACTAAGAAAGTGAGAAACACAAACGCAATGAATAGTATAAGATAAAAAACGAAAAGTAATATAATTTATATACCTTGGAACATAGATTTTCGATTTCTGGATGTAACGCGTCATTGCTGGACAATCTGGTGGATTCGTTAATAGAAGAAGCAATTAATTTACGTTGTAAATCTCTCTCACGTGCTTTGTTTCTTTGATTAATCGCGTGAGAGCAGAGACCAAATGTTTGCAACCGTTTGTTTAGGAGAATTATAGCTTTACCACTGTTTAGTAAGTACTCCTGCTCCTTTCCAAGCCGGACGATACTCCTAAAATAAATTAAAAATAATTTATAATTTATAATTGTAATACTATAAATGATTATCTAATTTTGTGAAATAAATGCAACGAGGATTTTCCAATAAGTTTCCAAAGAATAATAGCGCGTAGATAAGATAGCACGTTTCCTTACTTATCGATATTAACGGTTATTTTCTCATAATCGTTCTTCAGTTCTGTCAATGCTTGTTCCAACTTCTCTCTCTTTCGAATTTCCCGCCGCAGCGTGCCCTCCAAACTATCGACTTTGAATTTGAATTTCGCGGCCTCCGTTTGGCAACACATAGCTTCCTTCTTAAATATATCACGCTCCTGAAGCAAACTCTCGTAATTTACTGACAAATTCGTGTGATCGATCTTGTCACGCATTCTCTCCTCCTCCAAACGATTGATCGTCAACGACGCTGTTTTTAAACGAGTTTTCAGCTCGTTCGATATCCTTCGCTCGTTTTGCAACAGATGGTCCTTCGAACAAAGCTCCTCGCGTATCGATAAACGTTCCTTTTCCAAATTGTTCAACTCTGCCTGAGCAGAAAACATATACACTATATATACATATATATTTTTATTCGAATTGTATCATTTTAATTTTTGGAATTCGTTTATTTATTTATTTATTTATTTCTTTTCATTTTGACTCAAAGAAACTCTATACTTAAGAGAAACGTGCTTACTGCATTTCGTTGGTGTTCATAAATTATTTCACGAAGTCTCCTCTCGAACTGAGAAATATCTGGTACATCGGACCGAATGCTTCTCATTTTCTCTCCACCGTCTCTTTATTTCTTTCGTTCTCAAGAAGACAACTCGTGAGAATCTCAGACGCAAGAAGCTGACGCCCCTTCGAGTGAAAAAGATTTTACACAATGCAATTTTCGAGAGAAATTAAATGTTTCATTCGAGCAGGTGCCTTGAGTTACTGAGAAGATTTATAAATCTTCTATATGGGATTTTTACTGGACAAATGAGGTATAGGGGAAAAGCTGAGTTTCTAAAGAAAACGATACAATTGCAAGAAACCACGAATTAATTCTTATAATTAATTTATTTTGCAAATAAAAAAATTGGTCGAGTTATGGACATTGAAATACTAGCGCCGCGTAGCGGTGAAACCGTGGAACTAATCGCTATCTCTGTCCTTGTCGCACACTGTTGTTCTCCTTGTCTATTACGTATGTATATGTCTGTCCTTGTCACATACTGCTGCCCTCCTTGTCTATAAACGAGGTGCTGCCATCTATCGGATTTTTCCAATTTGTCCTTTTAGTTCCAACAGAAAATGAACTGGCTTAGATGGCAGCACCATCCGTAGACAAGGAGCGTAACATTGTGCAACAAGGACAGAGATAGCGATTAGTTCCATCATTTCACCGCTACGCGGCGCTAGCATTTCAGGGTCCATGAACCGAGCAAATTTTCAATTGCAAAAAGAATTAATTAACAGCATTGACTGGCTACTTTTTCAATTGTATCATTAGAATTAGATTCTCTAAATACATATATATAAAAATTTAGAAATCGTACCCAATACATCGAAGCACTCGTTCGAAATTTTAAAAACATTTTCGTTTTGTTATCTTATAATTTTGTTTATTGATATTATAAAAATAGTCGTATATTGCGAAAATGTATATAATATCATAATTATATAGCTAATTTGATTTTTATTAGAATTAATGTATCATTTGAAAAAGAATTATTACCGAATCCAGAATAGGGGAAGATAATAAAAGAACATTTTAATAAAAAATTGACTTTATTAAGATAAATAAACTTAATGTACTGCACAAAACCGTCAATGACTGTCCATAAATTGTATATCTGATAAGAGTAAGACTGTGTTTGGCAATGGTCGTGGTTGCGGGCTCAAGACTGTAAACGTTTGTCTATCAACGTCGACGTTGGTCCTACAAACAAAACGTTCTAGCATTAATATCTTTAAAAATAAACGAATAATTTCGTAACTGTACGTTGATACACTTGTAATAGTAATTTTGTAATAATTCTTACACGCAGACAAATCCAGCTACATTGGTTTGCACTACGTCATCCTCCGGTGAATCAGCAAACGAGACAGATAACAAGTGATGAAGGAGGTTTGGCCCTGGTGTAACAGCTACCAGTTTCGTCAGATTATCTTCCGCCTTCATTCCAAGCGGCATGCACGACGCAGGGAGGACTGGAGCTCCGATTTTGTACAATCTGGCCTCGCTCCATTTCACCTCAAAACTGTGCGGATAGAGCGGTGTTCTGGAACCGTAGAAGTATTCCCTGACACCCTGATCTCTGGCCTCTGTTCTTTGAGCCTGACTCCTCTCAACAACTCCACCACTCTTCGGCAGGAACACAACTTTAACAAAGTCTGGCATGTCTCTGACAAGCTCGTTGTACAGCCTCTCTTGATCCAGTACCAGAATCGCATCCACCTCGAATGCCTGGGCAGCGTGTGTCAATAACTTATATCCATCCCCTTTCACCCAGCCACAGGTGTTTATCACGATCCCCGACACCCTGGCCTTTTTGTTCGCTTGAAGTCTGTCAGAACAGACCTCTGCAAGGCGAGTTACAAGAAGATTGTAAAGAGCAACATTGGCTTGTGGCGTTTTGTGTCCAAAGTGAAACACTAAGGGTGCTTGCTGACTGAATCCATCAACTACGTTGGAAGGACGTTCAACCAGCAGTGCTCCAACAGTGCCAGGTATTGCTATGTGGCCTTGGCCTACATCCAAGTCCACAAAGATTGGCCTGCGTCCCATCCTAACCGCGTAATTCAATAAAAGCCTGCAAAGAGTTGACTTCCCAACGTCGCATGGGCCAACAACCATTGTTATTGGGCCCCTGGTGTCCTCCTTTTCTGCAGCTTCCCTGAGTCTTTCCATTGCTGCATGGCAATTTAAATAGAGGCCCATTGGAGTCTCTTTAGCTACGTAGCTAACATCAGTCTTTCCCACTAACTCAACCGTACAGCCTTGCCAAGTGAACACAGCTACTTTAGCACCGGCGATAAATTCATACTTCTTGCCTTTCACAAGTTCTGTGCCAAAAACCTCTGCTAGTCCGCTTTTCAACTAAAAACCAAAAGGATTGGCATAATTTGCTAATTGGTATGGTTTGTTAAAGTGAAGATGGAACTAAATAAAAGGCATACGAAATTGATAGAAGTAATAATGAAACGCAACATAGAATGATGTGATAAATACCTCTAGCGTAACCTTCTCATTTTTAGATTCAACTTCAAATCTCAACTCGCAGTCTGGGTCTAACTTGAACTCTTGCGTCTGAGCTTTCTCGTCTGTCATTTTACCTGTAGAAATTAAAATCCAGTTGTCACGTATCTTTCAAAAATGTATGCTCAATCGTTTCGACATTACCGTTAAACACTGTATCTTAACCTCTACATCATTTGTTTGGTGTTTTGCGACATTCACAGACTATTGATAGTCGAATACAAGTCGAACCAACACGCCGGAGATCGATAATGTTGGAAATTTCTCAACAGTGTATTTATACGATAACTATCGATTGTTCTCGATACTTTGAATTTTTAAAACTTTTCGTTCAACAAAATTCGAAATAGAATCACTAGCTAGCTAGAAATGGTAATACGATTTACAGTTACAGAAACAAAAGAATATCGAAATTATTGATACTTGCGTAGACAATATTGACGATTTCCAATCGCAAAACTTGATATCGATAATAATCGATGTTGATATCCAAAGTTCCAGAAAAAACCGTTGCCACGCGTGCTGACGTCGGAGTTCAATCTAACCTACAAAATCTAACCTACGGACGTCAAAAACAGTTTATAGACAAAATGACGGCGTTAACAATTGTGGCGAAATTTTGGCAGGAGTATGCGAAAAATACGCCGAAGAAGCTCAAAATAATAGATGCTTATCTGCTTTATGTATTTTTAACGGGTGTCATAGAATTCGTGTATTGTTGTCTAGTCGGAACATTCCCCTTTAATAGTTTTCTCAGTGGATTTATTTCCAGTGTTTCCTGCTTCGTACTTGGAGGTATTACCACCAATTATTGTTACATGTATTCAGATTTAAATTTTATTTAAATTTAATGGTAAAGTTTCAATATGAAATAATAATGTTACATAGTTGTCACGTTATATATCATTAGTATCAATTATTATTTCTTTTGTTTTGAATTTTAATTACTAACTGTATTTTGTTAATTTTATAAGCATCTTTTTACAGTTACAAATTATTGCAGCAATATAATTATATAGTTTCCACATAACCTGTTTATTATAACATTTGTTACATTTTAGCATTAATGCTTACTGCGTAAAATTGCAATTTTATTTGAAAAGTATTTTTAGGTCAATTTTTCATTTTTGTCTTCAATCACAATGAACACTCATTTTCATATTGCATATCTATTTTATCCTTTATTTCATATAAACCATTTATTAATTTATAACTTGTGAAGATTTATATTTTATTAATAGCTCTTTCAACAGAATTCAATAATTAATAAAAATTATTTGATAGATCAATATTCTTAATTGTAATTTATCACATAAAGAACCATAGAGACTTGAATTTTTCGTTTTATTTATTTCTCTTTATATATAAATACTTATATTAAAAAGGTATGCAACAGAAATAAAACAGAAGTTAAATAAATATAGAGTTACATAGGTATTTTTAATTAATTTGTAACAAAGATATTAAGTTTAATTTATTAAATCATACAATCATTTGTATTAATGATTAGTGGATATGTCCTAATTATTCCTTTCTCTGTGTGTTTCAGTTTGCTTACGACTACAAGTGAATCCCCAAAATAAAAATCAATTTCATGGAATAAGCCCAGAAAGAGGATTCGCAGATTTCATTTTTGCACATGTAATTCTACACATTGTTGTTATGAATTTCATTGGTTGAAAAGGCAAAATGAGATTTCACTTGTGAAATTTTGTAATAAACTACCAAAAACATTATTATTATTACGTTTGAATCCATTGTTTAAAATAAATAGCGCGGTCTAAAATAATGGAAATAATTAAATCAAAACTTCTTTATCCAAATTGCAGATAATTTCAATAAATAATAAAACTTCATTGCTTTAAATATAACCTTATTTACTGGTATACATAAATAAAAAATGTTTACAAATAATAAAATTAACCAAATACACAATCTTTTAAATAAAATAACATTGTTTCACATTAGGAAAAATATACTCTCAATCAATTTTTTTTGTACTCAACATTAAATTAAAATTAATAACAAAAATTATAACAATCATTTGCCATTAAAAACATTAGACGATTTTATCGTTTAACTGAATGAAAAAAACAAAAAAAAAAAAAAGGATATCTTCGATAATATGTTATCTCAGTCCTCTACTCCACCAATGAGTATATAATTCACAACCAGTCGATATTAGTTGCTAAAATCTCTTTTTCTACTCTTAAGAACAATTATTTTCTTACGAATAGAAAAACAAGACTTTAAAGAAAATCTTTAAGAATAGAAATATTTAGGCTACCAAGAAAATTTCTTAAAAAAGAAAAAAAAGAAAAAGAAGAATTACTTCTGTGTATAAGATTTCAAATTTCCTAAGGGTTTTTTTTCTACATAAGATTAGAAGCTCTTCGATAAATATCTTTTAGGGGGAAGAAAAACGAAGAGATGTTGAAAAGAAAGGATCGAGACTTTCGAGAATTTTCGCTTCTTAATTATTATTTTAATAAATAAAGAATTAAAAATAATTAAGCGAGTAATACTTTTAAGTTAATTCTTATTATTGCTAAAGAATTAAACGGCTAATACTTTAAGTTAATTGTCCTTATCTCCTCTTAAGAATAAAAAACGTGTTCTTAAGGAAACTATGTTTCTCAAGTTAAGGAGCTTAGAATTTTCAAGAAAACTATTCCTAAAGATCGGGATTTCTGTATGACGATACGCAAAATCGAAAAAAAGCAAATATAATGAGTGCGAAGTTTCCAAAAATAGAAACCGGTGCTTAAAAATTGCACCTCGTTAAAGATGCAACGATAATTAAGATCATTCAAAAATTCTTAGGAACAAACCAAGGAATAAAGAATACAGCCTGCTAAAAAAAAAGAAAAAAAGAGGAATAAAAGAAAATGACAGCTGGATGCAAACAGACACAAAAAAGAAAAGAAGGAAGAAGAAGGAGGCAAAAAAAAAGTAAGTGAATGTCGGTGGACGTGTACTCAAGAAAATCAGTCGTTATACTCTTCTTCGAAGAAGATGGCCGCTACGAAGCACGAAAAATCAAGAATTTCTTTATCGACATATATCTCTCTCTCTTTCTCTCTTTCTCTCTCTCTCTCTCTCTCTCTCTGATTTCCCTGTTTTAAGAAGTAGTATTAGAAACATGTTGGTCGGCCTCATGCTTTTTTCGGCGCTTCTCGAAGTATCTTTTCTTAGCAGCGAGCCGCAGAAGTTCTTTGCGACGCTGCAGAATCTGTTCTCGTTCGGATGATGATTTAGAAAACCGTCCTCCCAGACTGGAAGGTTCCTCGCCGCTGAAGTTATTAAAATTATTTACATAAGTGTTAACAAAAGAATTATTTAGCGTTTAGTTAAGCAAGTGAGACGAAGGAATGATGAAGATACCTATCAGCAAGGGGAATATCAAATCTTGGATCTGAAGGTAGCGGCGCCGATGGGGTATTTAAAGAAACACTAGTTTCCGTGGTACTGGTATGGATTTGAAGGACGGATTCCGACTGCGGTTCCTCGATTATGTGATGAGGAGATATCAGCACCCCATCCAGGATATTTTCAACGGTCCACTCGACTGATCTTGTCATTCTCAGATCTTCTACAATTAGATTGCGCGGAAAATGTGGAAACAGCTGCTGCACCTATTTTAATAAATATTTATAACTGTTTTGTATCCAAATGATGCATATGTTTATATGAATGTAAATATCATTTATAACAATAATGAAACAATATTTGTTAAATTTTACTAAATTATACATATGAGTAAAAGCAAAATTATAATTTGATGATAAGCAAATTCAATATGGGACAATCCTCAAGTAAACTGCCATGAAATGAATGCAATTTGAATCAGTTAGTAGAACATTAATGAGTGAACAAGATCATTAAGAAAAAAAAACAAAAAAAAAGAATAATTTATCAAGGCACAAACTTCGCTATAAAAATATACGATTAATCGCACCTGTCTAATCATGGCATCCATTTGCGAGTTGTTATGTGTAATAGTAGAGATGTTCCCGCGTAGCCTATTGTGAGAAACTTCAACAGAGAAGCTTGGCAACCAGGAGACGTATCTCGAGCCATCGAAATGAAAGAAATGGTTTTCATTTCGTCTGGCTGGCGTTTGCGGTTCGGTTGGTAATTCTTGTGTGTTCTCGCGGTGGCTAGGCTGCATGCTTAGAGCTAATCTACAAGTTGGACACGAGGTGTCCTGTTCTAACCAGGACTGTAAACAAGAATTGTGGAAAAGGTGAGTACAAGGTAATTTTCTAGCTGTTTCCATTTTCTCCCAGCAAATGGCGCAATTATCGGAGTTCTCTGCTAACTCTTCTTGACTTGCCATTGGATAACTAAAAAAAAAAGAATTTACTTAAAAATTGTGACTCCAACGCTTCCTAATTTAAATATTTAATGATCAACAGATTGTATTTAAATTTTTATGCATTGATAATGAAAATCTGTTTGTCAAAATGTATAAAAATATATAAAATATATCTAAAGCATTCATTATGATCTTTAATAGACAAGACAAAATTGTTTACTTAAATTCTATTTCTTTAGTACTAAATACGAATCATTTGCAATCTAATGATTACAATTATAAAAAATAAATACTTACTTCTGCTCCATGTGATTTAACACAGCGAGATAGTTTCTGTGCTTTGTTATCTTGCGTTGTATCTCGTAGAAAAGATACCTAAGCTGCATACAGATCACAAGGGACGCCATGCTTAAGAATATGTTACTCCAAAGTAACATGTGAACGTGGTGAAGAAAATCTACAGCCAACACTATTAATTCTGCCGCTAGATCCGTGTAGTAAGTCAAAGGACCTCTTTTGTCCCAGGAACGTTGCGAAGAGGTTCCAGCTCCGCGAGTGTCATACAGGTGAATTATATATCGCACCATTACGTGAACTGTTCTGACCCCTAGTAAGATGCACTGTTAACAAAGAAACACACATGCTTTAGTAAAATTCGTCAATTATAATACCCATAATTTTTTTGCATCAGCAAACGATTTCTTTTCTAAAAATTTCATACATTAATTCAATTCGACAACAACATGTTAATTGTTACTAAAATTGAGAGTTTTGAAGATATTCCGAAAGTACTGCAACAAAGGAGAACTTCTTCAAATCAAGCGCATTTTCAATGCAAACAAGTGGAATAATGGAAAGCCATTTCTTTTGTACTATTAAACTCTTGTAAACGTTTTACATTACCTACCTCAGCTGCAGTGAAGACAAAGGTATTGAATGAGACGAAGAAGAACGCCGCAGCTGTGCACAGGAGTAACATAAATGAAGATAACGCGAGAATAGTCGCGAGAAGTCCAAGAAGCCTCGCGTGACTCCAACCAGGCGTTGTTGGTGAGAACGACAACTAAAAAAGTAATTCTCGTATCAGTAAAATACTTTCTCTAGATACTCTTGATATTATTTGTTAGAATTAAAGGCAAATTAAATGAAAGTATCCACTAGAGGAAATTGTTCTGTGTAAAAGTTAAAGCAGTAGATTACACGGAACAAAGTAGGACAATCCACGTAATCTATGCACTGGAACGAGTCCAAAGATAATACGTACATATTTAATATTTCATGTGTATTATTTAAATTAACAGATTTCTGGAAATTAATATTTGCACTGAAAAAACATATATTACTGCTTAATTAAATAGAATTAAATAGAAATTAGCTAATTAAATAGAAATAGAAAGAAAAACGATTAATACTAATTCTATAATCATATAGAATAAACATAAACTTCCTCCCTTTGGGAAGGTAGCAGCATTTACACAGTATATAAACCAAGCATTGTATTGTAGTAACGTGCTTTGAAGAATCGAAAAAATGTCGCATACGAGACAGGCCAAGGAAAATTGAACGTCGCGTAGCCGGGGAAAGGCATAACCTGGTTACCTCTATTCGATTATACTAACGGGATTCACGCGAATTCATTGCATAACGGAGTCATGAGATTCTTTGTTCTTTTTTTTTTTTATTACACTAAAGATTCCTCTTCAAATCTTTGTTTTTAAAAAGAAAAGGAGGAAACTTTTGAGACTGTTTTGACGTTGAATGTTTCCTCCTTAGAGAAACATGTGTCACAATGTAACTTGATATATCTCAGTACTATATTATAGCTGTAATATACTGTACTATAATATATTATATTATAGCTGTAATATACTGTACTATGTATTATATTATAGCTATAATATACTATGATATATTCAGTGCATAATATGTAGATATAAACTGACATATTATCTTTATGTTATGCTAAGTTCAACGAGGAGAAAAGATACCGGGGATTTCCAAGAAGTAAACTTCCATCGACGAATGATTACCGACCTCGCAAATAGGCGGATGGCGCTCTTGTAATTCCCCGGACCATTGTTGGTTGGTTGGTCAGTTATCGAAGCCTATTGAAGCCTATAGTTATAGTTATAATATAGTACATTATAATATATTATAGCTATAATATAATTACAGTTATGATATAGTACTGATTAAGTTATATTGTGACGCGCAACTTTTGACGTCAAATCGAATAAATAAGCGAATAAAGAGACTGATTCATCGTCGTGGGAAATACGTACGTACGTAAACTGTATACGTACATAAATAAAAAAAAAGGTAGTGAATAGCCATACGTCTATCGCGCAACGAGACAATACAACACAAATTTCCGCCAGCAAATTTCTGAAATCGTTATTCTGGGGCACGTGCCAACTTCGCCGATCGCATCCGAATTTACTTGAGAGCAAATTCGAGTTCGCTTTGGTATTTTATTTTATTTTAGCGATACGAGCTGGCTTTATCGAGGTTCTTTGAATGAAGAAAACTCCAACGAGTTGGAAGGTTCGATGGTAACGGGAGTTTTCGAATTATTTCTTTTTTCTTTTTTTTGTATGCAGTGCAGAGAATTTATCGAGAGAAATTCAAAACACTTTTATTAATGATAAAATACAAAATATCCTAAATATCTTGCAGGTATTCAAACCTAATAAAGGTGAGGTTACAACAAAAGAAGTAAAATTTGGATCACAGAGTTAGTTCAACACTGTATGCAAACAGAAGTGTTACTTACATAAAGGGAGTGTTGTAATTATTATTTTTCTTTTTTCTTCTGTACGCAGTGCAGAGAATTTACTCAAAAAAATTCAAAACACTTTCATTAATAATAAAATATAAAATATCCTAAATATCTTGCAGGTATTCAAAGCTAATAAAGGTGAGGTAACGACAAAAGAAGTAAAATTTGGATCACACAGTTAGTTCAACACTGTGTACAGACAGAAATTTTACTTACATAAAGGAGTGTTGTAATTATTATTTTTCTTTTTTCTTTTCTTTTGTATGCAGTGCAGAGAATTTACTCAAAAAAATTCAAAACACTTTCATTAATAATAAAATATAAAATATCCTAAATATCTTGCAGGTATTCAAAGCTAATAAAGGTGAGGTAACGACAAAAGAAGTAAAATTTGGATCAGAAGTAAAAGTTGGTTCAGCGCTGTGGTGCAGACAGATGAAACTTTTTACTTACGTATTCGAATCGATCCTTGCAGAGTTGACTGAGGAGACTTAGGAAGCCAAGCGCGGTGAACCAAGCCCACCAGAGTACAACCTCGTCCATGTACTGCACGTTCAGCACGCCGAACACGAAAATGAATTTGTAGAACACGAAGTTCCAGAACTTGTCCTTGAGGTGTTGCCTCTCGGAGGCTCGAAGCTCGCCGAACACGAGCTTTTGGATTGTTTTGCCCAGCAGGATCAGCACGCAGTACGCCATGTTGATCAAGGTCTGTCGAAAAGATATTATCATTTCATTGGTGATACATCATTCAATCTTTGGTTGGGACAAAAGTAAGAGAAAGCGGGGCAAGAATGTGAGAGTGACTGCGTGCGACTTCTTTCTTTCTTTCAGGTTTCTTTCAAGTATTGTAACAAAAGTTCCTCAGCCCACAAGGAGGCTGTAATCGTGTCTCATGCTTGATCAGAGAAGGTCCAACTATCTTAATGGAAGAGTTCGAAATAAAATTCGGAATAAAATTTGTTCGCCAAGGAGGATAAATCCATGTATGAAAGGAAGAGGATTCGTAGCTGCAAGTCACGTGAATGTCACATGGAGAGCAAGAGGACGCCTAAGAACAGAGAGAAAGGACAAAAATTGAAAACGCTTAGAGAAAGTCGTGAATGAAATCTGGAAGCGGGTATCGATATTTTTTTAAAAGCCATTGGTCAATCTCGTGGCACTTTTTCGATCATTCCCGACTTGCGGAATCGATAATTGACATTTAAGAAAAATACGAGCAGAATTCCTCCGCATGCATGCGTTCCCTTCGTCTCCAATCGACAAGCGACAATAAATATGTACAAAAGTGAAAGATTACAGGAGAACGAGACTTTCTCTAATATCTACGTTCTCTTTTCGGACACTCGGCTGCCAACGGGGGAACAATTTTTCTAGTAGACGAAACAATTTCGTTTAGGGATTAGTCTCACGAAGAGGGACTCGAGAGACAACACTATTTTTAATCTGGCCCAGATCACGAAAGAAAGAAAAGTAAACGACGAGAATAGAATTTGCAAATACTTTCACGTGCTGGTTTGATCGTCTAACAACAAGACGTTAAAGTTAAAGCGTTGCTCGTGCACACGTATGCACGCGTGGTGCGACTCCGGAATATTGACCTTGACATCTTTTTCGTATCAACCGAGAATCAATGACGTCGTGAAGTTTGTCGCAAATGTGTGTTCAGCGGGGCTTCTTACGTTACGTTCGTAACGTTTCAATGTTACCATTCTGCGTGGCTACGTATTCTTGTTTATTTAGGAAGAGATCATCTCCTCCTCCTCCTCATCCCTCGTTGGCAGAGAAGGCAGGAAGCACGAGGCAACGAAGAACTCGTGTAACAGCAACAATTGCTTGCCTGCCAAAACTTGGACTTGAAAGGACAGGATAATTTTAGTCGCAGCCGAAGGAGAGACTTCGACGAGGGAGAGATTCGCCGGGCTTCGTAGGCGCTGTTGGGCAAGAACAGCGCCCCCCTGGCCTACACGTAACAGGCTGCACGTGAAAAAGGTGCATATACACATACGTGTAAAAAACAAATGCCGATGCACACGCCGGTATGGCTAACAATAAGTGCAATAAGGGACAATTCTCGTCGCGACGCAATGGAATCGAGCCCGGCAGATTTATTAATAAGCCTCTTAGCTGTTGAATGACGAGTATAACGTCGAAGAAATGGCTCGAGTATACTCGTCGTGCGAGAAAAGTAATTACACTTGAATATATTACTTGAATTGAATTCTTTTTTTTTTTTTTTTTTTTTTTTTTTTGTGGAGAATGAAACGTATAGAGACTAAGCTTATACTAAAATATTTTATTACAATATTTTTATTCTATATATTTTGTATTGTATTTTAATTTTATAATATATTATACTAAAATATTTTATCATATATTTTTTTGTTATTAGTTAATGTTACTTAGCAATTAATTAATATTATTTCTTGCTATTGATACTAATTATTATTCTGATTTGAAGAGATTGAAAAAAAATTATTAGTTGGAAAATTAATTATTAACAGGAAAAATTTATTTACTTGAAAAATGATCATTGAATAGAGAGTTTAATCACACGAGTGATCCAACGAGATACCAAGCTGGAGAGACGAAGAAATATAATACTGTTGTCATTACAAATTACGAAAATTATTCCTTTTTTCACAGGCTCGAGAAGTCTCGTGAAAAAGCGACGTTATTCGAATAGTCATTCGTTTTCTCGATCGATTTGGCAATTATATATTTGGCAAGCGACTCTGCAATGTTGGAATTTTTGCGTGTCAACTTGCAAAGTGAAATTAGATATTCTATACCTGATGCAAAGGCCACGTGTGTCGTACACGTGTACATACTATACAGCAATATTGATTGCCCACTTAAATGTTCTGTTTTGCGTGTAGTTACGTTGCAACAATTTGACGGCGTTCTCGTCTATTAAGTCAGAAAAAAAAAAAAAAAAAAAAATAAGCGTGATTTTGCTTCTTCGAGGCTCTCGTGTTCCTCCAAAAATTTCAGCCTGTCATTCGCGTTGAATCGTGTGTAATTTTCTCTAAGTTGCATGCCACACGCCCGGAGGGAAATTAATAGCTTTTGGTTTAATTTTGCCTGTGTGTAATTAATTCTCAAACTTCTTTTTTCGCGAGAAATAAGTCGACAAGTCGACCAGCGAATGAAAGAAAAAAAATTTGTAAACTTTTTTTTTTATATTGTAAATTATTTGTATGTATCTTTATATTTATATTATATATTTAAAAATTTGTAAAAATTTGAAATGGTGTAACAGGAGAGACTGACGGCTCAATTAACTTTTTTTTCCCCATTTGAACTCCTTTGTTGGGAACTTTTCCGAAAAATTCGAGTCTCTCGTAACTTCTTCTTCCCGCCTGTGAAGTATCATTTGAAAAACTGTGTCGAGACGTATTATTAGAAGTTATTCGATATTCAAGCTTGCTGAATATTCAAGGGTTATTGGTTTTCTTCGCAACTTTAAATTAATAAACTCGATTTATGTTGCATGTCGGCAGGAAAAGAAGAGGAACGATTCCTTTCTGGCTTTGTACTTGGAACTTGCAATTAGTTTCTACGTTTCATTTTATTTCCACGTCAATTTTAAAGACACGAGGCTGACGAGAGGAGAAGACTCGACGATATTGAAACATTAATTATCCTAGGTTTTATTTACTGAACTATCGTGTAGCTAAATTAACAGTGAAGCTTTTGCATTTCTCGAGACGAGAGCTCAAATTGCATTTTATGACATTGAGGTAGGTTGTAGAAAAATTATTTTACATTATTTTGCATTTCAGTCCTCTTTTACATGTTTTTCAAGACTTTATTTGCTGTTTGTCGTACTGCTTCATTTTATTCTATTTTTTCTAGCAATTTCTCCAGTTTCTCAGATTTCTTCAAGGTCCTTTCGTTCTTTTATTTCTTTGTTCCCAATTTGTATGTCACGTTTTCTGAAACCTCGTTTAGACCTCAGAAGATTAACGGTCTTTTAGGCTTTCTAACACGTCAAAAATTTTTGAATAATTTTTAGAATAGAATTTGAATGATTTTAATGTTTAGTTTCAACACTTTTTGAATAACAAGAATTATGTGTATAGGTCACATAAAATAGGTGGAACATGGTCAAAAATTTTTGAATAATTTTTAGAATAGAATTTGAACGATTTTAATGTTTAGTTTCAACACTTTTTGAATAACAAGAATTATGTGTATAGGTCACATAAAATAGGTGGAACATGGTCAAAAATTTTTGAATAATTTTTAGAATAGAATTTGAACGATTTTAATGTTTAGTTTCAACACTTTTTGAATAACAAGAATTATGTGTATAGGTCACATAAAATAGATGGGATATGGTCAGAAAAAGAAGAAGGTTGGGAAACACTGGCGTTAGAGAGTGAGAAATTGAAAACGTTCTTCGAGAAATTGGGACCAGTTCTATAGCTGTCACGGAGATGGATCGGTTAGTCGATCCGAGAAACTAGACGTTTATCATAGCAGTAACAGCGGGAGAAAGGAGAAAGTTTTCGCTAGTTATGGAACAGTCGATATAAATTGTCCTCCTCGGGGAGGGACAAATGCTCACGGGCCACGTGTTCAGACTGCCATGCTTCGTGCTCGTTGCAAATTCGTCCGATGTTAGTGTAGCAGGTTTCTATCGTGGATTTGGCGATAATAATAATAATTCGAAATAATTTTACGTGTAAGTTTAATTTAATTTAATTTAGAATAACGAGATTTAGAATCACCAGCCATTATAATTCAAAGTCTTGAAAACACATCCTCCTCCGCATTAAATATTATTCAATATATATTCAATATTAATATTATTATTATTATATTAGTTATATTATTGTATAGTATATTATATAGTATATATATTTATAGTATTTTATAGTATATTATATTTATATTATTATTGTACAGTATATAATATATAATATAATTAATATTATTATATATAATATTAATATAATATATAATATTATTATTCAACCGTATTGAACAAACGCGAAGCATTGATAAAAATCGAGTGATTGAAAAATGAAACAAATTATTATTGAAAAGAGCGAACGAAAATGTCGTGTTGACTGAATTCTCGAAAACTTTCTGGCAGGAATATAGGAGAACACGAGTGTTATCTTTGATTTCTCACGTTCGAATTATAATCACGATCGTGTGAAAGTTTGCAGTATAATATGTACGTGAATATCGTACCGTTCGAATATATGTAAAAGTAATTTCGCTTGGCGTGACTTTAGCGAGTTCCGCTTGCCGCTAAATACATATATAATATATATTTATACATATGTGAAAATGCATGTGTGAAAAATAATTACACAGTTATCACTTCACGGTAAACAGATTAACATTTCTTAAACGTATCCGAATAGAAGGAACGTATCAAAATCTTTCAGGAACAGCTGACAAGTTCGTCACAATTTCGTCGAAGTAAAAAAAAATGTAAATTTTAACATTATAAATTAAAAAAAAATATGACATTGTAAATTTAAAAAAAAAGAAGAAAGTATCTTAGATGTTAGACGTACAGCACTTACCCAGATGCAAACAGGCTCGTCGAGCATGCACTCGAGTAGCTCCTTCAGATGCATAGCGAAATTCCTCGGATCGGAGTCGATGTCGCTGGTCGATTCATTCTTGGTCTCTACATAAGTGTGGTTGCTCTTCCACGCCGGGTCCTTGATGATCTGAACCGCATAATACACCGAGCAGGATAACACGGCGAAGCTTATTGCCGTGTACACCCGGAGATTCGGGATTGGAAGTCGCTCCAAGAATTCCATCGGCATCCTTGCGGCTCTTATGATTTCCTGCTTCCTGCGCGACAAATTCGTTACTTGCGTTTGACTGGGCCGAAAGAACATATTGTTAATTCGTGGTATCATAAATGTTAGAATTTTTCAAAATTGGCACAGTTCCGTCCAAATTAGAAAATATAATTTCCAACATTATAAATTAATGAAAATATGCCAACATCTTATATATATGTTACCTATGTAATTTACTAAATAAAACTAACACTATACATAACACAATGACACTATTTTATTAAATAAAATTTTAATATGTATGTATATATTAAATATAAAATGTAAAATATAAAATATAAAATTTTATATTTAATATATATAAAATTTATATATATATATATATACATCTTTTAAAATTTTATTTAATAAAATAATGTTATTTTCATAAAATATGTTTTATGTAAATATAAAGTATAAAGTATGTTTTGTAAAATAATGTTTATTTAATAAAATAGTGTTATGTATAGTGTGTTTCATTTGGTAAATTATATATCCTAACGAGACATCGCCTTACTGATAAAAATTCAAATTTTGCGGATAAAAATAAAAATTTTCATTTATTTTTTCATTTATGCACACGATGCGAGAAATTTGAATAACGAGCATTGATTTCGTACGAGCACGCATGCATATGCATCTTGCACGAAATGCATATGAAATTAATGATATGATAAAAAGTATTGTTCTTTCGTTTCTCGTTACTTGTTTTCCTTTTTTTTTCCTGCTGTTTGTCGAATGTTAATGCATTTTCACACGAATGTACACAATACGTGCGTGAAGTGAATTTACATAACGTGTGTCTGGAAGAAGAGTAACGATTGCCTTTCTATAAATAAACGGTGGCAAGGAGAAAAAGTGTGAAAGCGATCATTACTCTCTTGACGCGAGACAGCGCTGCGTGTTGTTCTAACCTCTTCCGCTGGAATGACGTGCCACGCACGTCGAGAATATTTGACCGAAAATTGCAATATTTTCTCAGTTTCAAGTACATTGAAATGTAAGCCAGGCAAAACAAATAATATATTTATTACTTCTTCGTAATTTCTATCCAGTAATACACCGATGAATTCGAAAAAGGAGGTGAATTACTGTATACGGTTTGGTCACTCGTTATGGTCCGTGAACCAGTTACTAGCGCAAGAGGTTAGATTAACCTTATATCCTACTTTCATAAAAACAAAAACAAAAACCAAAAAAAAAAACCAAAAAAAAAAAGAGTATTTGATAAAAATACTTTTTTTTCTTTTTCTTTTTGTTTAGATGTATCACGAATTGACTCGCGATAATTCGAATGTTGAGGAAAAATGGTAAACGCAGATGGATGATTTATCAATGTTTTTCGTCGATTCGTAAAAACTACATATTGATACATGTAGCGTAACGCGTCGGATAACATGCTCATTGTGGAATTCACGCTTTTCACGAGGGTATAAATGTACGATGATTCACGACATCAGAACATTTTATAAAATAAAATGATCCACGATGAGTTTCTATGAAATGATTCATCCACCGGTATAATTACCCCGATGTGAACTCGGTTGAATCAGTAATCTGCGTACATAAAAATAGAAATATTTTTGAACCTGCGAATGACCATTTAAAGAAGATTATAAACGACTACAATGATCTTCATTATTTTATTTAATAGTACAATTTCATTCGAAAATTCTTTAAAATTGCAATGAGCTTCTTCTGTGCCTTGGACTTGTCTCATTTCATCAAAATAATTTCAGCAACAATGATTCAATCAATTTTCAAACAATTAAATCAATTTTAAAATCGTGCTCTAGATTTTTTTTTTTTTAATTTTGATCACTCGACGTGCTTTTTGTGTTCAAAGTTACACCGTTTTCGGATTTCTGTATCAAGAAATTTACATTTACATCAGATGAAAATCCCACTTAAATTGAAATGTAATTTATCTCCAATTGCTCTTTAAACAAACGATCTCGAAAACGCACTTCGAACAGGTTTCTATCGCTGTAAATGACATCGATGATGTAAGTAATATGTAACATCCGTAATATGTATTAGTGTTTGTATTATGTAATTTGTTTACGTGTCCTTCGAATTGACAGGATGACTCGATTTGTAGAAAGTAAAACAAGCCACAAACGATTCAGTTTACTAATGGGACGATGAAAGTCGAGAATGAAATTGTAATATATAAAATAAAGCAATAGTTTTCACAGAAAATGTACCTGATTTCTACACATACACGATAGGCCAAAAGTTTTTTCCCACCTATTTCTTCTTTTTCAACAAAATATCAAGATATGGGAAAAAAACTAATTTTAAATTGAATTTAAGTGCAAACATTATGTACTTCAATGTGTAAAAAAAAAAAATTACATTTAAAATATTACATTTATATGTTATAAAATATGTAAATAAGTGATATATTTATATTTTATTTATTTAAATATAAATATTACATAAAAAACATATAATAAAAAAATTACGTATTTATTTTAGTAGGAAGTGATTTTTGGGCCCATCCTGTACTTTCGAATCGGTACAAGAGTATTAAAATCAGTAAAATTTCGCAATTACTAGTATTTTCGCAACAATATGTTTGTCGAAATAGTGGCGGACAAAAACTTCAATTCCAATTTTCCGTGAATAAACAACTTGGAAAATAATAACATGGTGCTACTCCATGTGGCAATAAACGGAAAGATAACCCACACGAGGAGACACTGTGTTTAACGCGTCTTTTTGGACTCGATCGTCTTTTATTTACTTCTCGACAACCTTCAAGGCATCGAGGATGTAAGATATACAGCAATTCTTATCTCTAAAAAAATGTACGATTTGTATTTCGAGTACGAACCTCTCTCCTCCAAAGTTTAGTTTAAGAATCTGACGATCGTTACTTTTTGTCCAATTTAATACATCTTGGTACCTCTATCGATTCCAAATGCAATGGCCCGAACATCGACGCGGACGCGCGCCTCTTTGCACAGTGTACGTGGCTCACCCGCGTGTTGCTATACATTTCTTCATTATATAATCAGTCGGTCGCAGTTAAAGGATGACTCACTTAAAACGATGAACAGTTCGTTCTTTTATGATGTTCGAAAGTTGTTACATACAAGTGGGAGCTATGCGTGTATGTATATACTTAACGGGTTCCCAACAGTGGATCACTGGCAACGTAGTAACGCTTTGTTGTTTTCACTGTTATTGTCGCGTAATTTCGTATCGATCCGCGGGATACGAGCACGCGGTACATTTATCAATTGTTAGCCAGTAAATTCAGTGACGAACAGTTATATTAGCGACGAAATGTTTTAGCAAAATTATCTGAAAGCACGAATATAAAAACAGACGGTCCGCCTCGTTATCAATTGAGTTTTCAATGATGCAACATGATTACACGCCCGAGCATCTCGTGGATATAATTTCACAGTCCCATTTTAGAGATCACAAATGACTCTCCACGCTTATCGTTATAGTTTACCGTACCGTCGGTGATTAAACGATTTGAAACGAAAAGGCGAATGAATGTACATGCATACATACAACGTTTCATACATTTGAAAATAAAATAATAAGAATATAATTTTCAATTATATATTTATTAAAATCGAACGCCATTCAATCATTTCTTTTTCGTATTCTTATTATTAAAATATTTCCTCAAATAAACTTTGAATTATTAAAATATTTCCTTATACTTCGAGTGTTTGTTAAAAGTATTAAGTATACTTCGCAGTTTTTTCTTATCTCAACGTTGGAAATAAATGCATTAATATTTGCGCGACAAAATTAATCAGGCAAAATTGATTCCAAGTTAGATTAAAAAGTCATACGTGGTAAGTGTTTGAACTTTGTTCCATGAAAAATTATTAAGTTTTTTTTTGTACTTTTATTTCGCCGACACCGGCTGCCTGATAAATTCGTTGTTCGGCGCGGACCTGAAAGAGAAACCAAAGCTAACCTTTAGTTTTACTAAACTAACTTCAGTTTCTCTTTAACTAACACCATTTTGATAGTAAATTTCAGAGCTACATTATCGAAAAACGAATTTTCACAGACACTAATTTCATACCGATTGCTTTACGTGTTAAATACTCCGTCAATCGATTGTTTTGTATGTTAAATATTTCACTAATCAATTGCTTTATGCGTTAAACACTTCGTTAATCAAATTTTTAATTATTCATATATTGCTTGACTGAGACGCATGTACACAATGTTTATTTACATAATGTTCATAAAGTTAACCTTCTAAAGTTGTATTAATATCAAAACTTCATTACGATCTCATGTTCATTCGTCTATTCATACATACGTACCTATTCACTGCTGTTAATTTATTTCGATGTCGAAAAAAATAATTGGAAATAAATTTTTCACACTTCGATTTCTTTTCAACTAACCAAAATTATTAAACTCTCTCGTTTCTGTTCATAAATCCTCATTTACGCACCTACTTCTATCTAATCTCAACTAAATTCACGTCATATTCACTCGGTATTTCCTAATTTTGTGTATTGCCACATTACCAGTTCTTATTGATAACAAATGTACGTTTCGCGCACAATCTTCGAGAAATATATACGTTTATCTCGTTCCGGGTTACTTGCACGCCTGATATTCCGTGAATTTAAATATCTCGTCGTTCATTCTTTTCCTTTCTTCCTTTTCTTTTCCTCTTCGTAACCGTTAATTCCCTCACATCTGTCATCCATCCCCGTTGACTTCTTCGAGACGAGAAACACGCGAGGTCAAATCGACGTTTGTTCGATATTACAGAATATCGCGCGACAGATAAAAGAAAAATCGACGGCGCTCGATGTTCAGACAGTCGATGTTCCTGTAAGGAAATGTGGTTCTATCGACATGGACTCACCTGAGAGTGACTGAGGGGAGACCACGTTGCCCTTTTAATCCATCACCGAAACGAAGGAACACGACACTTCGGAAAATGAAGACCGGCGCCGGTCGCTCAACGCATATCTGCGCTCTGGATTTGCGTGGGAGAGAGGAAAGGGTAAGAACTACCGCAAGGAGAAGAGAAACCGGAGGGCTCTGCCGAAAGTAAGACTTTCCTCGATTGAAATCGTCGTCCACACCAGTTAACGGCACACACGCGGGCTCGTCGTGGGTTTTACATCGCACACGCACGGCTGGAGTTCGCCAATCCGGTCGTGTTCAAAATGTGTCTCTCGCGCTGGCGAACCGCCTCTCCTACTTCCGTCCTTTTTTCTCTTTTTCCCTCTCTGTTCCCTTTTTTATTTTTTTTAAAGAAAGAACCTCTCGAGATCCGTTATTGCGACACAATACGACACAATGTGTCACGAGAACTGCACAGTGCTCGAGACTGCTGAGAGGACTGACTTGTACAGTCGATAAGGAAGTATCGATCGGGATAAGACGCGAAAGAGGGGGGGTCGTTCAGGTTAGACGATTTTATCGATGTTGGGCGCGAAATTTGAATCTCTACTTTCTCTTGCTAGGGGGGATAACAATTATAATCAAATTATTCAAAGTTGCGAAAGTATATTGTGCTGTACGCACAGGCAAGTTAACTTTGAGATACATTTACGCAGAACAATTTATTTCGTTTGATTGAGTTTCATTTCATTTTCCGGTAAATGCAAAAAGGAGATTTAACATCTTGTGGCCTTGAATATCGAAGTGATGTTGAATATTCATACTTGTCATGATAGAATTAAGGATTTGCATCGTCGGACATAGGTATTTATATACGTATTTATATATTCAAGGTTATCTTGTTGTAAACATACATTGAATTAAATACTCGTTTTGGATGTGGAGGAATTATTCAAGATGCTAAGTCGAGTTGTTCTATTATAATTGTCGGAAATATTGTAATAAGCTACGATGTTTCTTCTGTACGATGGAAACTTAAATCCATGTCTAACGCGTACAAAGTAGGCCATAATATAGAAAACTGCATAAAGGAAGAAGAAAGATAGACTGCATTATTGGTAAAATCAATTTTATGTAAATATATGCTACAGACGGAGTATGTGTGCACTCTGTCTGTGATATATGTAAATATTTATTTTAAATACTTTGTTTCTTTCTGGATAGTAAAACGTAGGTCATCATTGAAAAGGTGTAAAAAAAATAATTCCTAAATTATAATGTCTTTGAATTTTTTTCTTTAAAATCTTAAAATTCGTATATAACGTTAAACTTAAAACAAACAGTAATTAAAAATAGCATTAAAATGTATGTCAAAAATTCGGTGCACTGTAATTATCGGTAATTGAAACTGAGATTAAACAAACGCGCCATCTTCCAAACATTTGGAGAATTCTGTGATCAATAGCTTCAAAGGCGCAAAATTTAAAACATATTGAAATGTACACGTTGAAATGTCGAAACTATTATAAAGGAAATTATAGTTTTTATCTTTTACCTTACAATAAATAAAGATACTTGCGTAATATTTAGAAAAAAATGAATTATTATTAATGCATTTTCTTGAAAATATTACGTTTTATTATATAAATCTTTTATAAAATTATTGTAATTTTGCCAAAAGTTTACTAATCAACTACCATAGATGTAGATCATGCATATATATTATATTTTACTATATAATTATTGATATACACGAGACCGTGATTATATGTACTTATCATAGAATTGAAGATCGCAAACAATAGGGATGCACTTAATTTTTTTAAGAAATTTTTCAATTGCAATTAATCTTTCTCTGAGTAATTGCAACGATAAGAGCAAATTGTCGTGCTTGTCAAATTTAAAAAGTTTAATCTATGACATAAACTATGTTTAATGACTGATGCAGTACATTTGGACGCGTGCTATAATCTTAAGCCTTCGGGAAGATAATAATCGTATTGAATTTCAATTTATAATATACAAGTTTTTGGTATATTTTTAAACAGTAATAGAAAGTTTATAGACTTTTCGTAGAAATACATTTCGTTTGATAATTGATTGAATCAATGGTCGAATAATGAAGCTCTAGTGACATTTGATGTATGGAGGCGCAAAGTATGGTGTATTGCGTATAAGTACACGTATATTTTATTAATCTTCAGTTCTGATCTATTCAAAAGTAAATCTCGTGTAAATATATTTAAAGGAACTGCCAAGTAAAAGTAAAAGAATAAAAAAGACATCATTTTCAACGAATCTTCCCTTGTGCAGTATCAGTGATGTGTTCTGTGTAATATGTGTTTTTGGTATTTTACTTTTCAAATAAATCCCATTTCATCGGCTACATTCATCTGTTCGTATTTACTTGTGTCGTATCAACTGGCTGACAAGTGTAGTTACTAATACTGTTTATTAAAATAAAATAAGAATGAAATAATTCACAAGTTATGTTTATAACCTATTGGAGAATGTTGAAACTGTTAACTTAGATTTTCGTCTACATACATCTCAAATTCTATTTTGTAAGAGATAATGCCTGCATGGATGAAAATTATTAGTCTGAGACGATCATTGCCAAGTTTTCAGGTTTTTAATAATTTTATTGTACAAAAAGTACATTTATTCAAGGTAGACGACTCATTGCTTTTTGCTCAATTTTTCCTGTTAATTATGCTAGAATCGCCGAAGAGAGATTAATGCATAAATGAGAAAACTGTATAAAAAAATAAGCTGAAATATCTAAGAATATACATGATTAAATCAATGATGTAGATTATTATGTAGATATGTAAATGTAGAAGTAGTTTGAATTGAAGGAAAATTTTCCAGATATAATGTTAGTATTGTACAAATTAATTAAACAAAAATTAAAAATTAAGTTTTATATCTTCTTAATATTTTTGCAATTTTGATTTTAATATGTAATATATATATATATATATATATATGTATATATATATATATATGTATATACATATAATTTTAATTTGATAAAAATTTCCATGTCTAAAAATATTTATGTAGTACATCATGAGAGAATACTTTGCTACTTTAAAACAGAGCTCTCATATTTTCTAAGATCTAAGCAATTATATATCTTAATTTTGTCTTTTTCTGTCTTCATGTTCTTTGAAAGCAATGTGCAATGAAATAATATAAGGTAGTATTATGTTTAAAATGTGATATGATTTGATCACATAGTAATCTTATGATATTTGGTAGGTCAAATGGATAAATTGGATTTCTTAAAAACATTTTCTAATAATTTAAATATAATTTTATTTATTGATAAAAGACTTTTATTATTCTATTTATTATATAATGTATTTATTGTCATTGTGTAAAGAATATTACAATATTTTGTATGTCTTTTGCATCATGTTTATGTATGTCTAATCAATTAATATAAGATATTCAATATTGAACTATGTAATAAACTATGTATTGTCATTAATTATACGTTACATATATATTACATATATAGACGTTTTATACAGCTGAACTTAAATTTATATTTTAGATTAGTAAAATATGAATATTCTTGAAATCTATAGGTTAATTTAGAGTTATTAAACTTTTTAGACTGTTAAATAAAAGTTAAGTTATAATGAATCGAAATAAAAATATAAGCACAAGAAATGATGATATATAAACACAAATTCTTTTTCCAATTATGTCATTTATTATTCTTTATTTTTTGATAAAAAAATTTATTTACAATTAACCTTTCACAATTGTCAATTGTTTTATATTATTTTACTGATTTATGGCGATAAGAATTATCTTTGGAAGTAATACTTTGTTATCAAAAATTTCCAGAAATCATTGAAGGAAATTAACTGTGATAATTACAGTTAAGCTGTTAATTGAATGCTTTTGCGTAACACACAGATCGCCGTTTATTAAAAAATATGAATTATTTATGCGCATATCATTTCCAATCGTTTCAATACGACGATAAATCTCTAATAAATAGAGTGAACATGAATTAATATATGGGACAATAAAAATATTACTAAATGTCTTTTCACTTTAGTGTAGTAGATTAGTTATCCTTACGAAGTCACTATAGTGACAGCGTTAAAGAGAGAAGTGCAAAGTCATTCGTAATAGTACCGAGCCGAACATAGTATGGGTTAGTGTATGTGTAAATAAAATAGGAACGTCATAATAAAAAAACCAACTTCAAATTGTCATTTTTTCTTGAGAATAAAGAAAACAATTTCTTTATTACTAATAAACCTCAAATTCTGTATTTATATTTTTTAAGATTAATTCTCTATATTAAAATATCAACAAATTCCTAATAGGATACCCTAAATCATCGATTTTACGAATTGGACTAGTAAAATCGATCTTTCGTGTCCCTTCTTATTAAGTAATCAGCTTAATACAAGCAAGCCATAAATCAGTTCAATAACCAACGAAAATTAGTTTGACGTACTAGTTAAACACAACGTTGCATGCAAATGTAAATATTGCTCCATGTCTGATCATGCAAATAACATCGGTGGATATACCAGTTCGATGTTACGCAGAGCCTGTTCGATTAACATTCGTAATTCGGCATACGCAACACTCGGCTAACATTAGTAGCGTTTCAGCGAGTGCACGACGTGCACGTTTAAATGAATATGTGTGCCTCTGTGTGAAATAGATAGACGGAACAGGAAATCAAGCAACGGGGTTGTCCCCACGCGCCCATAATTCAAAGACGCGTCGAACACCGACGACGGTCGGCGCAGCAGTAGCGCGATTGCTTTCCGGCTGGTCGGACTTAAGCACCTTGAGTTGAGGCTGCGCATGCGCGCGGGCGCCACTTCGTTTCGCCCGCCATCAGTTGGTGCCGCGCGTGCGCAATATCGTCATTATCTCTTGCGTATTTATTCGTCGCGTACAATTAGTAGATGGATTTGCTTCACTATCGGCAAGATATGCCTGCAAACACGCGAATCACGAGTGAGAACGATCCACGGTCTTGTCCTTTTCCGGAGAAACGATCATCTGTCGCCAATGGTGCTTCTTATCGATGCAACTTCCTTTGGAATTGGTCGCGTTTGCCCGACGTTTACTTACCGAATCCTTTGTTCACGTGTGTAACATTTGAAGCGTGGAGGGGACGCCGCTTTTTTTTCCCATCGGCGTTGTAGGTACTAAAATTTAAATTATAAACATAGTTCGCAAAGGTATTTGGACACTTATTACAGAAAGCGTTTGCATTTCGTCGTATCTCGTTACGGTGCTAATGAAAAGTCAACAATTGCGTTTCGTATAACACACGATACATTTGTAAAAAAGTTTCTATATGTGTTCCAACAATTTTGCGAGCAACTGTAGATTAAAACATTCAAGCAATGTGGAAAAAGAAATATTATTGTTGTTGCTGTTTTGTCTTGTATAAGATTATTCTTTTTTAGGTTGAACTTTAAGGTTTAACGGATATTGGATATTGGAGGTTAGTTCGTGTTTTCGAACGCAGATGTCGCTTTTGAACAAAATAGGACACGAATCATCTTTCTTTCGTTGCAATTTGCAATCATCTCATTTGACCGTGAAATAACTAGTAAATTACATGATTTTTATATAATAAAATGATAGTTGTTTGAAACAAGCTAGATACTTATGAGAGGAAACAATATGCTAGAATGATGTACCATTAAATTTATAAACGATTTATGTGTCACGTAAGGAAAATGCATTTGTTTTCAATTGATTATACGTCAATTTTTTTTGGCAGTACAACTTTTAAATTCTCGAAACATATGTATTTTTAAGAATTAATTAAAAATATTAAAAAACTATATTTCATATATATATATGTTCAATTTTTATTTCATAATATGAAATGTAATACGACGCATTACGTTTGTAAAATTAAATCATGAATATGTATGTATGAAAATAACAATAATCGGTTTCTTTACGCGAAATATTCGAATAAAGTATTCGAACTGAACGTGTATCACAAGGTTTTTTTATAGTATTAAAATCAATAGCTTTTTACAACTAATTGATTCGTTTAAATTGATTCAATCAGTGACTCAATATTCTCTGGTTTTTCTTTTTACAGATCTCAGCAAAATGTAAATATATTAAATACTAAAACTAAGTATTCAAACTACATGCATATTAAACTTTAAATTTTATTTTGTATCATATGGATCCGAAGGGAATAGCGTGATTAATAAATTTTAACATAAAATTATAAATTTACATAAATATTTGGAATTAGAAAAACTATGAATATTAACCACTTTTTCAATAAATTTACGGACGTGTAATTTTACAAAAGATTGATTATTTCAAGTTATAATAAAATACAACAAGTAACTCGTTTCATTTTAACCATCCGTTTCTGTTTCAGGACAACAATTTCCTCTCATCTTTGTGTCGACGTGAAATTTCACTGAAAAGGGAGACAAAGAAAAAAAGAAAACGGAAAAGTGAACGTATTTCTGAATGACGACGAACCAAGAAAAGCATATCTATCGCTTAGCAGTCGTATTTTCGAAATATTTGTCGACTAATGGTTGATTCGAAGGTGGAAATCACGTGAAACGTTACCAATCGCGCATGTGCGCTCACGTGAAATATTTTCGGTGACCTTGAAATGGAGGAACCGTCGCAGAACATCGAAGGACCATCAATAAATTCTTCATCGTCTTCCGCAGACGGTGAGTGATATTTTAATTTTCTTCTTCCTTTTTTTTTTTCTTCGCCAGCCAAAGACTGTATACATATATAGCGTAAACCTTTATTTCAAAGTTCTAAAGCCCTAAGTCTAAGTATTATAAAAGCTGGTGTTCGTTTGAGGTTTCGTTTTGATACACAATCCCACCCTTTATTAAATTTTCGGTGAGCCCCGAGCTTTAACTCTTTCTTAACTCTTGTGTCTTGCTCTTACATCACACGGACACACGGTATTTCGAAATTTCGCGGTTTCATTAAACCCGCGAGCGATTTTTAAATTAAATATCTCTGAGAAATATCTATTCAACAACGGTTCATGTCCAAATGCAAATCGAATAATGCAATCCGTACGTACGGTGTTCACGGCAGTTAACGAGTTTCATTAATTACGAATGTGTTGACGGTGTGAATTGATACATAGTTACGCAATTAACACACGACGTTCTATTGACACGAGCGTGTGTCCGCCTGTCAGACGCGTGTCTCGCAAAAATCCAGCGTGAAACGGAGCGAGACTCGCGAGTGATAAAGCTTCCATCTGCTCTGTTCTGCTCTGTTCGAGATAACCCGAGGACCCTCGGCTGCGCAGCAGCCAAGCTAAGTTCACTCTTCACCCTCTTTACCTTTAAACGAATGCAAGCTTCTGAGAGCGCGTTTATCTACGCGCGATATCATCGACGACAAACTGGTAGATCAGCGATGTGTAATTTTTCCTTTTTCTCAAGACTTCGAATCTGGCCTGTTATCTTTTTTTTTTTGTTTTATAATATATTATATTATTATTATGGTAACATAATATATCATTACAAACATTACCTAGATGTGATATTTTAATACGACTGTTGCCCGCTGCAAATTGAATTTGGCGGGTTGTTAACACTTTTGCGCGCCAATTATATTTATAAGAAGATAGAGGCGAAAATTTTAATCACGCGAGAAATATCCTCGCCAGTGAGATTATTTCGCATTTGTCGGCGACGTCGTTTCTTCGTGAAACGTTTTTGTACAATAAAAAAACGGCAATGATAATAATATCCACGCTGAAAGGAGGGAGCTCTCGCCTTGGCAATTGGTTTTTATAAATTTGTTTTTACGTAATTACACGCGTACTTACTCGTATTTATTATTCAAGCTTATTATTCAAATTTCTATTCAGACGTTGATGTATTCGTCCGAGTGAAATCTTCGTGGCAAAGAAGTCTGAAACGATTTGCAACGCCGCTGTCGTTTTCCAATGCGTAAAAGTATCGATTATGAAATATGCATAAGTGATCTGCACTGAAGAACATTGAGAAAGAAAAGAGTTCGCCATCGGAATTTGATGCACTACAGCAGCTTAACAATAGAGCAGAGTCGTCAATATCGACCGTGTTTGCACATTTTGTCGATTTATTAACGATTTAGTGATTGAAAAGTCACGGTACGAGTGTTCGGCAAGTTTCTTAACAAACACGCCTAAATGATAAGGAACACACGGTGGTTTCCAAACGATATTCAATGATATGCGAATCTCTTTTAGAAGCGGGCTTTTCTCACGTTGATCCAGATTTTTATAAATACAATTTACTTTACTTAAAAATCAAAATTAAACCAGTAATTTCTGCTTGTTCAAATAAAGCGATAAATAATAAGAGAGAAAAATGAAATGATCAATGCTGGTGCACGAAAGATACGAGTTGTTAAAAATTAAACAAGGTTATCGCGGTATTTGGGAGAAAAATTTCTCCAATTGTACGTATTTCGACAAATAGAGATAAGCAACACGTGATACAGAGTCGTGGCTCCGCTTCTGATTTTGTCCAGGATGCAATGATTCCATGTTTCGATCCTTTCCGAGTATCTGTACCAGTAATTCGGCGAACGTACGTTGTTCTCCTGGCCGCAGGTGAATATTAATATTTACGTGTTCTCTGTGCCAATTTGTCATCCCATTCTGCCGTTGAACGCCTCCTTTCTAGCTCCTTTTTATTCGCTGCTCTTCGCGAATAAATTTAGAAATCCTTTCTTACATACGTGTATACACACATGTCGGGATTTCGTAATTTTTCTGCACCTAATTGTCTACCCAAGAATAAACTTGCGCTCAAAGCTCTGGCAGTGTTCGCATCTTTCTGAAAGGCTTCGCGAAAACAACTGAAACGAAACGAACATACAAATGTGTGGAAAGAAGAAAGGAAGGAATAATGTTTCGTTCTGTGATTGTTCTGACGAACTTTTCGATCCGATTTGATTAACAACGATGGTAAAAATTCACGATTGCTCACGTGTCTTTTTCATTTAACTTTTCCTCCTTTATCGCGTCCAAGTTAAATAATTCATTTCGTGTGATTCATTTTTTATACGCGTAATTATTTATGAGGAATATGATTTACATAATGTTCTTATCTTGGTCAACGCGGTTGTATCACGAATTTTCTCGGATTATCACCGCTTAGAAATAGTGTCAACCTTGACTCACCAAGTTTATTTCTCTTATCGAACGTGGTAAATAAGTGGCAAACAGCTGTTTATTGATGAAAAAGAAAATAGAGGAAAATTGTGTAGAGTTGTAAATTGTGATTCATCAGGAAATCTTCGATATATGTACAATCAGTACTAACTATTTTCGAAGAACAATGGCGAGAGCCTCGTGATTATTTTGTATGGAAGTTTTCCTACTTTGTGTTAGTATTACTTCTTTTTTGAAATCGATCAATCCCCCATGCTCGACTCGAAGGATTCGACTGATAGAGACACTCTAAATATAACGACTGACAATAGGTAAAAAATTACGCTCAATTTGTAATTCAATTCTATTTTAAAGACACACACGCCCTGATATAGAAATAGCTGTAACGAACATGTGTTACATCACAGTATCTCGCGAACAATAATAAAATTTCCCGCTTGTTATTTGATGATTGTTAGCAACGATAACGCTTAACAATGAGGTTTATCGCCCCGTAATCCTAATAATCCAGATACGTTTCGACTAATTGTGTCAATAACTTCTTTTTCTATCGATTATTCCCTTTATCTAGCTGAAAGGAAAAACAACGATAGAGCAGAGTTGCAGGTCACACGTTTAAAAGAAATGTGCTTTAATTTTTCTATTTTAAAAAGAAGATACTCGGAGCCCAGAGTTCAGATTGGGTTTGTGTTTATAGGGTCGTCACGGTGTGCAAAAAATAATTTTCGTCATTTGTTATTTTGCGTGGCGATGAAAGGTGCAAAGCCAATTAGCTGCGAGAGACATCTTGGAGAACCGTACGCCGTATAATCAATGTGGCGGCAATTCTCGCGGGGTTATCGAGGTGACCCGTTCGTTTATAAACTTTGTTGTAAGCAACCTTCAGTTCGCCATGCGCTTGAAACGTGCCGCTTGATTTGTCAATGCGTCGCTTCCCTTCTTCTTTTTTCAACAATTTCGTCGATGGTCGAATCAGCTGGATTTGAAATAAAATTTCGAAGAGGAGTCGAACTTTCGAAAAAAGAGAAGAGCAATCTCTGTGATTTTTCACACTATAATATTTCGGTATTACTTTGTCTCTCCTCCGTTTCGAGTGATTGGATTTGACTTGATACCGAGCACGACACTACATTGTGCGAAAAACATACGTTGACGTATCATCAGCCTTGAAGAAATCTTCGGGAAGATCTTGAGGGAAATTTCTTTCTTTATCGTCATCTGATAAAATTCACTTTTCGGTACGATACGAAATTTATTATCTTAATCTTGTCCGTTCTTTCTTGTCTTTAATTCTTGCCACCTTGGTGTGGAAATAATTAAAATGTTTCATTTATTAGAAATAATCATTGTCTCACACACACACACACACACACACACACACTGTGTAATAATTTTTCTTTCTCAGAGTGATTGTATTTTTTTAAAAATTCGCGCAAACAATTAATTGCAAATATTACAATCGATTGATCTTGAAATCTTCATTACGCTAGCGATATTGCGAATCTTGATTTTATCCCAAGAAAGTTATCAACAAGTCCGTTTATCTTGTTCAAAACAGCGTTTCATCTCTGACACTCCTATTCGAATTACATTTCCAGTGTGATTATCAAAACTTTATTTCTTTTTCTTTCTTCTACGCGAGATATTTCATTTGAATCGATTCTTCACGAATATTTGCGAAACTGTTGACGATAATATCAATTTTATTAAAAATTTTCGTTTTATATATATATAGTCTAGCAATATGATATAATTTACTTTAGATGAAACAGATGATAATTTTTACTATAATTGTCGATTTCAGTATGGCAATGGAAAAATTTTGAATTTGATGTTGATAAAAATTTGAATTTCGCGAAAGGAGTAGAATCTAATTTGAAATCACTTTCTTATCGATCATATTGTGATTATTAAGACGTTCTGTGCATAAATTTTAATGTCATCTATATAAAAGTTAAACAAATTTTAATGTCATGTAATAAAATTTTATGTTTACATAATGCATTCAATGGAAATGTGATGAAAATATCTAATCGTTTATGTAACTTGACCCTTGTAAAACACGTTGACCTAATGTTTTATTTTTAAACATTGTTAAAGTAGAGATTAATACAGAATGCATATTGTAGGTAATAATTTATCATCGTCACAGTGGCAATATTAACTGTGCGATGACGAAGCGCTTTAATTTTGTTAACAGTTACCACTTCTCGACCGATATCATCTTTTCTTTTATCAAACATTGAAATCAAAACTTAACTTACGACCAAAACAACTTTAACTTTCATCCATTAGATATATAGTTGTTTTAATCTTTTCAAATTACAAACTTATTTCTGCTGTAAGATTCATTTATTTAGATTTCCCCGATTCAACTTCGAATTCGTGGTGTTCTTTGATTAATCTGTTTATCATTCCCTCAACAAGCATCCTTGATATAAGTTTCACAACAATTTTACCTGAACAATTAATTGTGTATTACATTTACAATACACCGATTATCTTATCGTCATTTGTACAAGTAATGGGATAACATTTGTACAAGTAATGGGCTGAAACGATCATTCAAATAAGATACTATATCACTGTTCTGCCTATTTTTAGAACGGGCATGAATTTATTCGGCGTTTCTAAAAAAAAGAAAAAAAAAGAATTATTTAAAAATCTCGCTAAATATTCATTTAGCAAGTAACGGCGTAACGTTGGATATTCATACTTACTTTGCACACGTTGCATATTTTTGCATGTCATGTGCTCTGTACCGTCAGACTATAAATAAGAAATTGACACATTAAAAAAAAATCACGTTTAAATTAGATTCATGTACGAGCGTAAATAAGATTAAGCGGTTAGAATACGCATGAACAAATATACCAATGCAAATAAGCAGCTAAATGAAACGTAGAACTATGTAGTTAAATTCAATATTCTGGTTGAATCATTCTGACAAAGTTTTTCTCTTTCTTTGCGGGTACTCTTCCTACGTTGCTCCGCTGGTGGTTAACGCGCGACTGTACCCCCCACCATGCGCGACTCTACTCTCCCCCACCACATGCGCAGCTCTACTCCCCCCACCACATGCGCAGCTTTACCCCCCACCACATGCGCAGCTTTACCCCTCACCACATGCGCGTCTGTTCCCTTACTACACGGGCAAACGATAAAAGTGATAGATCCACGTTCAGTAGTCACTCAACAACCTTCGCGCGTGATGGTGCAGTAATTTGACAAATATCGTCGTTTTAAACGGTCGACGGTATAGTGACAGGGAGTATGACGACCACGTGAAGAGAATTTGTTGCCTGTGTTGTGTGCTGTTCACGCGTGCACGCGCATACACGTATAACGAGGCTTTCACGCTGAGTTTACGCGGCCATTTCGAATTCCACAGGGCGGTTACCAAAATGCGGTTCGACGATCAGCTTTTCGAGGCTTTAGGTAAGTCGATTGTAATTAAGACCGACAAAATCATTTGCATTCGTTCGTCAAAAAGAGACGTGTAAACTGAACATTGCGTCTGAATTGGTTAATTTATTCTCCGAATTTGAAGACTAGACGCGAGGAGCATAAGTTTTTTTACGAAAGTATAGCTTTGGTATATTTTGATACGTATTAAATGATTCATTTTTTAACGCATAGCTCTCGCCAATGAAATCTTTCACTATAATGCTTTTTCTTCGCATTGTGTTTGATTCTTCAAAAATCACGATATTTTAAGTCAATAAGATTTTGTTGAAAGTATTCTGCAATCTATTCTGTAAATTCGGTACGTTGCTTATCGATTCCCGCTTAAGAACTATTATTGGTCAATTATTTTTAAATGTTTATAACATTCAATTGATATTATAATACCAAATTGTTTCCTTCTTCGATTATCTCATATTAAAATACAATGCTGGTGTAACCTTTATTTTTAATTCCTTAGTCTTAATTCTCGCCTTGCTTAAATGAATTATGTGTATTGAATTATGTATATGAGATCAAATATCGACGTCCGAAGTTAAATTTAGTGATTCTCAGAGGTAAGATGTATGTATTGTCGCGTAATTGAGGAATGCGATATTAGCGTAAGTAATTGTACATCAATGAGAACGGTAAATTTGAAAATCCAACAAGTGGAAAATTACAAATTCTTCCGTGCATTGGTACAGGAGTATTAATTAATTGTAATACTAGTATAATTGTATTAGTTGATTATATTAGTTAAATGGCATAATTATACTAGTTAATTATAATAATTAACTAGTATAATTATATTAGTTAAAAGAGTTAACGAAATAAAATGAGAACTAAATGACAAATATCGATCCAGTCAGCTTTTAATCGTACAACGACGATGTTTCTGATTTTTAAATCAGTGACCATTATTTTCATTCGCATGATTTAAGGCTGTAGTCATTTTCAACCTGATAAGAAAAACGCGTATTTTTTTTGTTTGTTTGTTTAAACGTTGTCTTAATTAATTGGAACGATGGTAATGTAGAAGTTGATTGAAATTAATTTTTAATTCCGATCGTGATTAAGCACGTTCATTTTTTTCTTCTCTTTAAACATAGAAGCACGATTTTCGTAAGAAACTTTGTCCTGTTAGAAATAATTGAGTGAAACAGACTTCTCGGGGAGAACAAATTCTTAGATAATCTCTCATAGGATATCTCTCTCATTGAAATTGTTTTCAATTCTTCGAATCACGCAGAATAATCGCATAATTGTAACAACAGATAATTAAAACACGGAGGACCAATACGTAGAAACGGTATATATTTTTTAATTTCTATTTTAAATTTGGCGAATTTCTTTTTTAAATTGAAAGAAAAGTATATTTCGTTGCAATTTTTCTAGTAGATTTTCGCATATTAATCCTTATTAGCTCTGCACCGTGACAAATTCCAGTGCGATATCTAAAGAATGTAGGAAGAAAATGTATCGTGTATTAAATTCAACTTATCGACAAAAAAATCAGTTTTAAATAGAACGTGTTAATAGTTTTCTACAGTATTATGTGCGTATTTGTCTCTAAAGTATCATTGGAAATAACCAATTAGAAAGCGTTTTTGCAGCGAATAATGCTTCAAGCTATGAAAATTTTGTTTTTTTTCATCTGCTTCGCACACTCATTCAATATTACCTGAAAGAAAAAAGGAGCATTTCAAAAGCAGCACGTAATTGCACTTGAAGATCATTGAGCATTTGCATTTACGAGCGATTTCCCTTATTTGCATAAAGAAATAAATAAATTTCCATAATAAAAGGCGCTGCTATTAACTTTATTCTTAAACCATGACGTCAATCAATAGACACATGATATAAAAGTACCGAAACCACTCGTTCCCCTTTACAGTTAATCACCAAGAAGATCATGAGCCATGGCAGCTATGAAAATGTTGTCGGGCCATTTTCTGGTGAATTGCGAGACGCGCTCCGATAATTCCTTTTCTTAAAAGAATCTTGTAGACAAACGACAATTTAACTTCAGGTTTCGCGTCAATGTGAAAAAATCTATTCTCTTAGTTTTGGATATTGGCTCGCCCAAGAGTTTTTTTGTCATGCTTGCAATTAAGTCCTAACATCCACCGCACTTCATCCATTGTGACTATTGTGTCGCGATCACTCGTTATTGTTATTCCCGGTCGCTGACCTACGGGCCTGTTTTACTTACAATTAGCAATCCTCTAGGAACGATTAAAGCATCGATTGAACCGTTTGATCGACGTTTTAATTATAGTATTTTTTTTAGTTGAGCTATAGGCAATCAATTGGCCCCTTTAAAGCGATTGGCTTCGGACCAGCTCGTGCAAAACAGCCATACACGTATATATAGAAATACATAGGAATTAAATGGAAATTGAAATATATAGAAATTAAATAGAAATTTAAGGGTGAATTGAAATTGAAATTGAAATATATAGAAATTAAATAGAAATTAAAATTAAAATTAAAAGTTAGACTTTAGATACCAAATCTTGTAATTAGAGCCACAATAAACTTATTAAAGCCAGGCTTTAGACATCACTAAAACATCCAATCTTGTAATTTTTCACAGAAATTTTGCAAATTCAAATAAAATTAAAATTTTCAAAAATAAATTTTAAATAATATTTATAATTTTTAAAAATAAATGCTCGATTAAAATTGAAATTTTGAAAAATAAATTTAAATTTATGTTCGATTAAAATTGAAATTTTTTAAAAATAAATTTAAATTTATGCTTGATTAAAATTGAAATTTTAAAAAATAAATTTAAATTTATGTTCGATTAGAATTTAAATTGTAAAAAATAATTTTAAAATTAAAATTTTCTTACTAATTCAAATGATCTTCCTTTAGTCATCGATACTTCTACAGTTGTAAAAAGACAACTTATCGTAGCATGGTAACTAAATGGTCTACCCACGAATTAATTCGAATCTACGTTATTTTTCTCTACTGAATTTGCGCGTTTCTGCATATTCAGATTTGCTTTTTCCAATAAAGCGTGTGATTCCTCTAGAAGGGAATCTCTGATATGTGTTTTTCGATGAAGTTATTACGGAAATTTCGAAGTGTGTGCAACGTATCGTACCAACATAATTATCATCCTTTGCTACGTGATATAGTCGGGCCAGCATATAAAATGATTCATTTCACGGTTGTCTCATTGTCTCTTCTCGCCGGCAGAAATTACTCCGTTCCTTTTCTGTTTATCGTAAACTGACTCATTTACCAACTACCAGCTTTGTTACCATTTTCCTCGTTCGTCTTTCTCTCTCCCTCTCTCTGTCCCTCTTTAACTCCCTCTTATGCACTGCTGAGTTCCCTTAGATGGAGTCGGTATCTCCCGTGGAAAAGCCAATTAATCGAAAAAAGCCTTTGTTGTAAAAAGAGGCTGAACAATCTGGAATGTTTTCTTGAAATTTTGATTACATTCCTGATTACTCCGCGTGTAGCACGTGTGTCGATTCATCGAAAACGTGTTCGTGCATTAGCTGATACGTGTGGGATCAATCTGTTGTACAGGGAATAACAATATTGAAATAAAAATACTCTTGGTCCAGGGAAATATAGGGACGAAGATTAATTAGTAATTTATCGTGCTATGTACGAGCGGAGGAAATTAAATGGTCAAATCACTTACTAATGTACCAAAATGAATCGCGTCGCACGTGAAGTGAAAACATTTCAAGAAACTGACTGAGTCAATCGTCGAATAACTCATTAGTACACATTTCCGCGTGTGTGTATATGAAAGTATATCAGACGCGAAATAAGAAGATTGAACGATTTATCAAGTAGCTCACGATCGAATTTTTCACCGCGCAAATATGCATCTCGCGTTAGGATTTCTGAATCACGCTGTCACTCGATCCCAAGTTTCCTTACTCTTGACGTAAATTCTGTTCAAGCGAAAATGCTGTTTGAACGATTTTGAATGTCCTTCGTATGGTCTATGATGTAATGTTCCTGCGATTTTCGACTTACGTAATCTTGCAGTCTCGCAGATTCATTTTTTCCCAAGCGTATTTGGATATTTTCTTCCGTTATATAAAGTAGCTTTTTTAATAAAAAGAAATTGCAAATTAGATTTAATTGGAAAAAAAGGGGGAAATATTTAGGCACTTTGCGAGCTGAAACCTGAAAAAAGCAGTTTTTGATATGATTCCTAATAACCAAATATCTTCTATAAATGAATAGAAGAGAAAATTATAAAAGAGAGAAAGAGAGCGAGAAAGAGAGAACTGTAGAAGTCACAGATGCTTTTTTTTAAAAGAAACAGTACGTTTCTGTAATCCACATTCCAACGAATTCAGTGGCCATAGTCATTCAGGGTCAGTCAAGGTTGTAGTTGAAGAGAAAGCATCTTCTTGTGTCTTTCCAGACGCTGACCAGAGACAGTCGTCTTCCATCTCCGCTAATGTTTCGCAATTATTCGTTCCTCTTCTCCCCAGTATAATTTTGTATAATTGTACATTTTGGTGTGATGAAATCGGACATCAATCGTATTCAGAGATTCGAATCAGGGATTTCTTGCTCTGTAATTTCTTCGAGAGGC